AGGGTCAGAAATTAACTTTTCCATCAAGAGAGGATTGATTTCTGGAACTCATTTCCGAATGTAAATAAAACATTTGAAAAAGGAGCTCACCGTGACGCTGCAATATTTCTAAAAAAAAGTCTTGGTTGATTGCAATTAATTTTCAATTTTAGTTTTCATATACAGTTAAAGTCAGAATTATGTATATTTTTTCAACACATTTATAAACATAATAGTTTTAATAACTCATTTCTAATAACTGATTTCTTTTATCTTTGCCATGATGACAGTAAAAAATATTTTGAGGTATTTTTCAAAACACTAGTATTCAGCTTACAGTGACATTTAAAGGCTTAAATAGGTTCACTAGGAAAGTTAGGGTAACTAGGCAAGTCATTGTATAATGGTTTGTTCAATAACCAATCGAAACTAAATATTACTTAAGGGGGTTAATAATATTGACCTTTAAATAGTTAAAAAAAAAAAAGAATTTAAAGAGGGGCAAATAATGTTGACTTAAACTGTATATAAAATAAAAAAGGCACGTTAACATCCAGCTACAATTTTAGAAAAATGTATTAATACAGAAGTGCCAAAGGTATGTCTTAGCTCTAGCACTTTTATTGTCAGTGAGATTATAACAATAATCTAAATGTGATACCACTAATTGTGCAGGACCATTTTTTGCCTTCTTACCTTGAATTTGTAAAGCATTTTTGTCACAAGGCCCTGTTAATTTCCGACCCTGCCTCCCAGCATGCTACAGAGAGATTAAATCATGTTACTTCACTAAATAAAGAGAATAATTGCCATGTGAACTTTGAATAAGATCATTTAAACGTGCGCAATTTAAATTTAGATGTTGCTGGGTGTGATTGAGCTGAAATAAATTCTGTGCTAATTTTGTCATGATTTAACATAGCTTGCAGTAAACTGTAACTGGAAGATTATATGACACATCAAGTTCAATTCTGTCAATAGCAACTTGTCATTTATAAAAATACAGTCAATTTTGTGTAAGAATATATATAACTTTAAGCGCATATATATATATATATATATATATATATATATATATATATATATATATATATATATATATATATATATATATATATATATATATATATATAATTTCATAAAAGAACAAATGTGCAAATATAAAACAACTTTACCTCAATAGCCAAAATACAGTGAGGTGTTTATAAGAAGTGGTAAACTTTTAAAGCCAGACCTCATGTAATATATTTCTTAATGTTAAGTTTGTCACTAAAAATGAGAGACTGAATAGTTTATCTAATATTTTGGTATTGTACAACTTTGATTATAATTTACAAAAATATTTTCTGAGGTGACGTTGGTAAAAAGTTCTGAAGTTTGAAAAGGAAAAGAAGAACTGATGAACAACTCAGGTAAAGTTAGTTTTTATTCACACATTTGTTCAGTGACAACTTGTGAGAGCGTATATATCGTTGTTTACCATGGTACTTTGAATATTCAATCTGAAATCACATGGAAGTACAACTTCAAAACAACATCAGCACCGTACACTACCTGACAAAAGTCTTGTCGTCAATCCCAGTTGTAAGAACAACATATATTAACTTGACTTCTAGTTGATCATTTGAAAAAGTGGCAGAAGGTAGATTTTTCCAGTGAATAATCTGTTGAACTGCATCCCAATCATCACAAATACTGCAGAAGACCTATTGGAACCCACATTAATCCAAGATTCTCACACAAATCAGTCAAGTTTGAAGAAAAAAAAAATCATGGTTTGGGGTTACATTCAGTACAGGGGTATGCGAGAGATCTGCAGAGTAGATGGCAACATCAACAGCCTGAGCTATCAAGACATTTGTGCTGCCCATTACATTACAAACCACAGGAGAGGGCAAATTCTTCAGCAGGATAGCGCTCCTTCAACCTCCACATCAAAGAAGGTCAAGGTGACAAGATTGGCCAGCCCAGTCACCAGATAGATGGAGGAGGCATTGGAAATGAATCCAATGAATGTTGATGAACTCTGGAAGTCCTGCAAGAACGCTTTCTTTGCCATTCCAGATGACTTTATTAATAAGTGATTTGAGTGATTGCAGAGATGTATGGATGCAGTCGTCCGAGCTCATGGGAGTCATACACAATATTAATTTAATCACTGCACCACGACTTTATATTCTATTCTGTACATTATCTCTGTTAAGAAACTTTTGTCTGAGCAAAGTCAGACCTTTCGGTCCTAATTACATAATTAAAATCAAGGCATGGTCATGTTTTATTTTGGTTATATAAGGACAATCTAGAGCACAGGTGTCAAACTCAGTTCCAAAAGGGCCGTAGCTCTGCACAGTTTAGTTCCAACCCTAATTAAACACACCTGATCAAACTAATTGAGTCCTTCAGGCTTGTTTGAAACCCACAGGTAAGTGTGTTGGAGCAGGGTTGGAACTAAACTGTGCAGGGCTGCGGCCCTTCAAGAATTGAGTTTGACACTCCTGATCTAGAGGCTTTTGCCTTTCATACAACGTTAAGCCACGTCTTATACCAAATGATCAATTGGAAGTCAAGTTATTTGTTGTTCCTAAAACTTGGATAGGTGACAAGACTTTTGTCAGGTAGTGTATATTTGTCATTGGCTGATAACATGATTTCCCAATTTAGAATTTGCAAATAATAATTTTCTTGAAGGTTATTATGAAGAATAAAGTCTGAATGCATCAATGTGAAACTAACTTTACCTCAATCAATGAAAACAATTTAGAGAAGAATCAATATCACACAGAACACTGTCAATTTTATGGCATTTAGTGAAATAAATTCCCTGCAAGCACTGTTATATGACTGCACTTGAGAAAGGTTTTACACATGTTTAAATCCCCTCAGATACCTTCTGTGTTCTGTGGCGGGGTCGAGAAAGTCCATCACTCGCATATATTTCCATTGCTTCTTTTTCTTAGCAGCTCGTCCACTACGACTGCCGTCCTGCTCCAGTCGCTTTTTCCTGGTGTATGTGTCTCTGAGGTTTTTCCATTTAGCTTTCACCTCTTCCACTACACAAACAAACGCACAAACGTTTGGTGATGATGGTGTTTTAGCGCGCTGCCTGCACCGCTACACAACAAGCTGCAGCAAAACAAAACTCACCGTCGACTCCCATTTTGTCTGCTATTCCTTGCCAGAGCGCTTCTTTCCGTTTCGTGTTTTTGTACTCGCTGTGGTTCTTATCAAACAGTTCCTTGTTCTCAGAAACCAAAAACAACAACAGCTCAGCGTCCATCTTGACTACCATACTTCTTCTGACTGAATAGTGAGTGGGTTTGTGAATCGGCGCCATCAAGTGTGCGGGAGAGACATTTCTGAACACGTGACTTAGAATAATTATTATTTATTTATTATTATAGTTTTTCAAATTGAAGCATATAACTGACAAGTATACAGGATTATATGATAACATATGTAACAATCATGCAAACCTTAGTGATGCAGAACATACTTTAAACAAAAAAGTGTAACATATATATGAGGGGATCCATCGTATTTAAATTATTAGATTGTACAGATAATTTTTTCATTATTAGAGAGGTTTTAATAGCTATCTTGTTTCTTGTAATTGAGGTCAAAGATTATAAAATATTTTTAAATCTTTACAGAAAATCAATCAATTAAAATTTAATTTAAAAATTGAAGGAGGGAGTAATAGACATTACTTTTGCCTTGTGAAACATCCCAAGAAAAATAATCAACTTCAAAGCATTGTCGAGTGTATCATAGCCAGTTTTACAATTCAAAAAAAGAATCATGCATTCGTCAAAATTAATTATTTTGTAAAATGAATCAAAAATCGACCCTGAAACCCGTTTTAAAATTTTTTAGGAAATTTACAAGTACAAAATAGATGTACAAGACTTTTAGGCTCAGTGGTACAAAAAGAACATTGTGGTGAAATGTCAGTTTTAAATTTATTAATAAATATATTGCAGGAATAACACCCGTGTAATATTTTGAAATGAATTCCTTTTACCTTATTTGGGAGTAAAAACGTATTACTTGACGTGACGTAGAATATTCAGTGTGATACAAGTCCAGAGATATGAATAATGAGTAATTAGTTGTTTCTTGGGCCAAATCTCAACAAGGTGTGTATAGTTCAATAAATCACAACTCTTTTAAATTAAAAAGAAACTAGTAAAATCATTAATACATACCTCAAGCCTAACTTGTACATGCCCATATTTCTTTATCTTCCTGAGACCCAAAGAAAATTATCTTTTTTTTCTTCTTTTTTTCTTTCTTTTGATTTCCTACATTCTTTGGGTTAGTTATTTATTATTATTAATATATATATATATATATATATATATATATATATATATATATATATATATATATATATATATATATATATATATATATATATTATTTTTTTATTTTTTTTTACATTTTTAATTCTACAGCATGTCCACTGTAGTGGACCACAGGACCATTTTAGTTCGAAACGACCGCCACTCAGACAATAAAACTGTACAGGATATGGCTGTATAGGGATATTATATGGAAGCGTATGAGTAGCATAATTCAATTCAAAATGTGATATGCAAAATGGCAATGCAATATGTTAAATGGCAATGTATTTCTGTATTTAAATTTGCATTTTCCAAGACATATGAGCAATGTTTGGTGCAGAATGAAAATGTAAATTAAATTACATTGTTTGCATTTCTCATTTTAAACACTGTTTTAATATGTAAATTGTATCCACATTTTAAAGCTTTATAAGTTGCAAAATTAAATTGAAAATGCTATACACAGACTGAATTTGATGTGAATAAAGTACAAGCAGAAACCGTAGCAAAATAATCATTTAAATGTTAAATGATAATCTACAGCCAATGAGAGAGCAGCATCCACTAGTGTGGGTATCTGCAGACCAGCGGGAGGTTGGGGGAGAAGTTAAAAGCGCTTCTTTTTGGTCTATTTGGACCCAAAAAATGAAGGAAAAACTAGTGGACATTTGGCAGGAGCACCCGTTTCTGTTTGACGTGTCATCTGAGCAATACCACAACCAGATCAAAAGAGAAAAAAGTGAAAAATCCTTATTTCCCTTATTTCCCTTTCTACCCCACTAAAGGCTTCTTTCTCATTATGTAGTTAACAAAACATATACTATGTGACCTCAAATTGTTTCCATGTCACTTACGTGTGTTTAGTTGTTAGACGTAGTTTGTGGACCAAGACAAAGTTGTCTGTGGTTCTTCCTATTGTAAAGTCATGCAGTGTGAAAACCTCTGTTGTTGATCCATCCTAAACCTACAGTGTGAACACAGCAGCGACAGATTGCTAATGAAAAATATCTAGTAACATTTTATTTACATTCATCATGGCAAAGCTAAAATAAATCAGTTATTGGAAATCAGTTATTAAAAATATTATATTTAGAAATGTGTGGAAAAAAATCGTCCGTTAAATAAAAATGGGAGAAAAAAAATTTAAAGGAGGGCTAACAATTCTGACTTCAACTGTATATCTACATAAAAACAAAAATATTTCAGATTTTTCCATTAAGATCCTATATTATTGATGAATCATCAATGTAGTTGCATAGTTACTTGAGTCTATGTGTGCTTCTTAATAGTTGCTGCTGATTGGCCCATTCCCGAATGAGCTGATTGGCAATGGCATATGAAGGTGGGACCCAGAACACAGGTGGCTGTTCTCTTGGGTTGCGTGGAGGATTCTGCAGTGCTGTTGTTATTTCTTCTAAAGTGAACCAGCGAGCATCCTCAAGTTCAGCCTTGTCTATATTCACCTATGCATCAACACAGTGAAAGTGGTTAAAACACAGCAATGTCTCTCTTTACCATTGCTGTCATTGGATTAAATGGGAATACATTTTGAAAGGTCTGAATATTTGTAAAGGGTCAAAAACGGTAACTGCCTGCTAAACATGTTAGTATCTGGAAATAAAACTGACAAGAATACTGTTAATATTTTAACAAATTTATAAATATATATTTTAAATTATAGATGTGATTCAAAGCAAATCCATTCATCTAAATTCACCTAAAAATAGCTCTGAGACGTTCTTTACAATCAAGTTTGCTGATAGATAAATAAAACAATAAAAAACATAGATTAATAATTGAATTAAACATAACATGAATAAAATGTAATGTACAAATTATACGAATTCCAATAGTACAAAAAAAATTATATATAAGCAATATCACACGAGTAACTGTGATATGGCTGTATATCGGCACTGGTAGGAGGCGTGCGCTGGCTTAAAGTCACAGGCTGAGTGCCTTAGTGTCCCACCAGTGACGATATACAGCCATATCGCACTGCTACTCGTGTGATATTGCGCTTATCCAACAGTTCAACAGCATAAACATGTGTACATATATATATATATATACATATATATACATATATATATATATATATATATATATATATATATATATATATATATATATATATATATATATATATTTTTTTTTTTTTTTTTTTTTTTTTTTTAATCGAACACAAGAGTCTAAAAATCCTTTTGTATGAGGAACTACTTTCTTCCACCATTCATTCACATCTGCAGCTGACATTAGTACAGCAGAAACCGTTGCTACTATACCAACATCACTTTACAGCTAGTATTTGAATGATTCTTTAGCGTAATGTCTAAAGTGATGACAACAGGTAATTTTGCTTACATTTTAAGATTATAAGGCTGAACAGCATGAAATGCCATCAGTCTACAAAGATTTCCCAGTATTTCTCTGTTGCAATCAGGAGATTACAATAATTAACCCCGAAAAAGCCATGGCAAAGCAAACGTTAGCAGATTACTAGGATATAAATACAGAGTGATACAGAAGGGTGAGGAGGCTGTTTGAGTGCTTTTATTGCAGAATACCTCACGCTATCAGCCGATCAGATTAGATATACCATATGAAAAAACAAAAACTGCATACATATCAACATAATAAAATTCAGGTAAGTAAATAAAAATTGTACATTAATTCTCTTTAACCAAATTATGTAATAGTTTTAGTGCTGGACAACAATTAATTGCATCTAAAATAAAAATGTCTGATTTGACATAATATATGTGAGTGTATTATATATTTATCATGTATATGTGATGTACACACGTGCATAAAAACAAAACTATCCAAATCAATTGTTTTACATAGAAATTTAAATTTCATTTTCATGAAACAACTGAGCCACAGTGCCGCCTATATTTAAATTCATATAGTATTAATTATTGTTATTTTATTATTATACATTGTGTTTATATAAATAAGCATGTTCTCAAATATATGCATGCATGTGTTCTTTTATATATAGAGTACATAATAAATATGCACAGTACACACACATATATTATGTCAAAAATAACTTTTATTTTGAAACTGTTTTTGTTTGTCTTACTTTAATAAACAGTTAAAGGCATTGTGCAGGTCTCACCTGTGTTTTGTTTGGGTTTACCGTGGCGTGACAGGCTAACATAAAGGAGCTTTGTGGGAATGGCCAGTGCTGTGATCCAGAGTACTGAAGATTCTCCACCTCTAACCCCACCTCTTCTGCCACCTCTCTGTGCAGCGCCTCCTCCACTGACTCTCCTGCAACATCATTTCAGAAAATACATCAGGTCAAAATAACCTGACTGTAAAACAACCAACTGCACTTAAAAGAACACTCCCCTTTTTTGGAAATAGGCTAATTTTACAGCTCCAAATTAGTTAAAAATTTGAGTTTTACCATATTTTAATCCATTTAGCCGATTTTCAGGGGCCTCATGTATCAACGCTGCGTACGCACAAAAACTTTGCGTACGCCAGGTTTCACGCTCAAAATCGCTCACGTTTGGATTTACTAACAATGAACTGAACGTGTGAATGTGCGCAGCTCCACACCAGCTTTCTGGCTGGCGTACGCACATTTTTTGTGCGTGTCTGTTTTATTTCCATTGGCGACTCCTAGAGGCAGTTGTGTTAAATTCCTCTCTACAAAGTGTCGGAGCCTTGCAATGGCAGCTGTATGAGACGGGTTCATCTAGTAGGTATGTAAGGTTTCCATACCATACAGTTGACCAGCTAAACATTAAAGCGCAATTTGCAGCGGTCGCCTGTTTTCCCAATGTAATCTGAGTTATCTACTGCACGCACATTGCTATAAAGACACTATCTGAAGATGAATTTGCATGCGTGAATCAGAAACATTTCCATTCAATAAATGTGCAAATAAAATTGATGCACAAACTTATTATTGATTCCTACTTGTCTTTCTCGGGATAAATAGTTGGCAAAATCTGATATGTAGCGGGGGAAAAAAGAGGAAAGAGTTCATCAGACGCTGGATTCGAACCGAGTTCATGCTCGAACGTGTCAAAACATGTTGACATGCGTCTTACGAGCTGCGTCACTAAGACTGTTAAGGGTACCGAAACATTTTACACCTATAAACCACACTATTTCTTTTTTAATTTACTACTTAAACTCTCCTATTCTATTTTTTTCTTTTGTTGTTTATTCAGGAAAACAAACTTGCAAATAACACCGCTTTTCTCCGGTCTACCTCCGAAAGCAGCACCACCAATTCACATTCTGTTCAAAGTTTCTCTTTTTGCTTGATTTTGCCGTTGCTTTTTCGTTGGGTTTTGCCATTAGCATAGTCATTAGCATATTCATACGGGGGAGGAGGCAGGGAGGGGTTTTGTGCTCGTGCATGTTGCGCTCAGTTTCACGTTCATTCGGATGTACAAAAGAATATGCGTGAGATTCGGCGCACGCAGTGTTTCATACATCTGAATTTTTTTCTGCGTACGCACATTTACAGCTTTGTGCGTATGCAATGTTTTAGTATGATTTCCACGCAAGTCTTCGTACATGAGGCCCCAGGTCTGGTGAAGCACTTTTAGCTTAGCATAAATCGCTGAATCGGATTAGACCTTAAAATAGATCAGAGTTTCTTCATCATACTCTGCAGTTTAAACAGGTCTTTGTAAACAAGACTTTTGGGGGATGGCTTGTGATGTGAGTGGGTTTATTTTATTTTATTTTTTTCTTTGCATATGTAACATGTAGACAAAATTTGTAGAGTGAAGAATGCTTTCTTCTGAATCTTTGTCTTTAATAAAAACTTATTTTACAAAAAAGACCAGAGTTTCAATAAGCTCAACACTTCTTTATTTATATTGTTTACTAAAACCGAGGGAAAAGCAAAAGTTGTTATTTTCTGGGCCTATGTGGCTAGGGACTATAATTTCATACTTATACTTTCATTTCCTTTCAACTCCAATCATTTTACCCCATCTGAAATAAAAACCCAAAACCAGGCTCCCTTCTCCTCCTCAGCCCACCACATGAAAATCTCAAAACATTATGTAATTCTGAGTGTCTCACAAAGGTAAGTGGGCTTGACAAACCACCTGTATAAAACACACTCTTTCATCACTCTGACACTTTAACCAACACTTGCACAGGTGTTGCACATAAGTTACACAAGTGTTTCAGTAATACTAGCCTGATCTCACAAGGTAATGTAACATGTAATGTATTTTTAGGTTTGGTCAGTTTAGAGCAGAGGTCACCAAACTTGTTCCTGTAAGGCCGGTGTCCTGCATATTTTAGCTCCAACCCTAATCAAAAACACCTGAACAAGCTAATCAAGGTCTTACTGGGTATAATTGAAACAATCAGGCAGGTATGTTGGAGCTAAACCCTGCAGGGACACCGGCCCTCCAGGACCGAGATTGGTGACCCCTGGGGTTCGATCCGAGAGTTGTTGTCATAGCAACAGTTCTGCTAGCTCAAACCTGATCGGGAGCAGGTTCAAATCATATTAACAGGATTAGATCGGCTCAGTGCATGCAAAGATAATAGAGAAAAGTATGTATGTAATAGAGAAAAGAAAGTATGTACCGAATTCTGATATTTTCTTACAGTAGTTATATACACTTGGGAAAATAGTAAATATATTTTAACTATATATATATAAAGTTATAGTTATTAATAAAATAAATAAAGTTATATATATTAATAAAACGTATGCAATCTGCACCCCCGAAATAAAAGTTCAAAGACTGCCACCTGGTGGTGCAAAGAGAAAACTTATTAATATGAACTTTTTAGATCGCTAAAGTACAAATTGTGTATGATAATAGAAATGCAGAATATGTGACTTTTAAAACAATAAATAATAGATTAATGCAGTCGTAAACATGTTTTGGCAGTTAATATGCCAGTGATTTGATGCTTTACAAAAGTTGCAGATACCTTTCACAAAATCAAAATGCTTTTGTAAACAACCAGTTATTCCATAAAGTGATTAATAAACCGGCTACTATAATAAAGAAAATCTTTTCTTAATGTAGAACTAAATACATTGATATGCATTGAAATACATGATGAATACTCTTGACACAAGTGTAAAGCCTGCAGTTCACAACAAATGTGGAAAGTTATTGCGTGTTATCTTTAACAAACGGTTTACTCCTAATTTGATGTAATTTTGCTCACATGGATAATTGAATATTAATCAGATGATGTCATTACGCTGCTGTGCCATCAGCCAATCATGGCATTGCTGATGATTCATGATTTCGAGGATCGACAGATCTGTTCTTCACAACACACGCAGCGATCTCAGATCAGTTCATCCAGACATTCTAATCTGATTCGCGAACTTGTTTGAAGAACCAAATTAGAGAGAGGTCAGTTATCAAGATTAAAAGATCCAGCATCTGCCAAATCATTTTGGATCATTTTAGCGAGGTACGAAGAACGGACCCCTGGTTTAGTGGCAAATTCACATGAGTTCAGTCATACGAAAAAGTAAAATTTTTAAAAGAAGGCATGGCACCATAACCCATCCCTTAACCCAACACTCATTGGGGGAGGAGCAAATCGTACTCAATTATATGAATGAGATCATACACACATGAATTAGCCACTAAAAAGTTACAAATTGCCATGAGACTGCATTGGTAATCCAGTCAGTCAGTAAGTAATCTAGTTGGCAAGTCCTGAGTAGGGTTGCACCAGCTGCTCATAAGTTCTTTCTTGCACTGGAACGTAAAGTCCTCACCAGAGGCTTAATAACTACTGGCTAGATTGTAATAAAATTTGTTCTTACCTCAGTTGCAGCACATGTTCTTAAGTCAAACAATAGTTAGTAGGTCGTAAGCTCTCTGTAAAGTCATGCGTAGTAGCACTGAATGACGTAATATCCAATAAAAAGCATTTCAATCATTAAACTGCTCTTGTGCATTAAACTAATGCATCTATATACACTACCTGACAAAGTCTTGTCGTCTATCCCAGTTGTAAGAGCATTAAATAATAACCTGACATCTAGCTGCTCATTTGGAAAAGTGACAGAAGGTAGATTTTTCTGATAAGAATCCTGCACAAAATCTATTGGAACCCGCGTGGACCCAAGATTCTCATAGAAATCAGTCAGGTTTGGTGAAGGAAAAATCATGGTTTGGGGTTACATTCAGTATGGGGGCTTGCGAGAGATCTGCAGAGGGGATGGCAACATCAACAGCCTGAGGTATCAAGACATTTGTGCTTCTCATTACATTACAAACCATAGGAGAGGGCACATTCTTCAGCAAGATAGAAGCTGGTCAAGGTGCTCCAGGATTGGCCAGCCCAGTCACTGGATATGAAGATTATTGAGCATGTCTGGGGTGAGATGAAGGAGGAGGCATTGAAGATGAATCCAAAGAATCTTGATGAACTCTGGGAGTCCTGCAAGAACGCTTTCTTTGCCATTCCAGATGCCTTTATTAATTATTTTTAATAGTTTTTTTAACTATTAATTAGTTATTTGAGTCATTGCAGAGATGTATGGATGCAGTCCTCCCAGCTCACGGGAGTCAAACACATTATTCATTGTTTTTCCACTGCAACATGACTTTGCATTCCATGCAGTACATTATTTCTGTTAAGTGACACGACTTTTGTCTAAGCAAAGTCAGAGCTTATTGTCCTAATTAAATAATTAAAAATTAAGGCATGGTAATATTTTATTTTGGCAAAATAAGCGGAATCTAGAGGCCTTTGCCTTTCATATAAACCAACATCCTTCTGACCCCAAATGATCTACTAGATGTCAAGTTATTTGTTCTTCCTAAAACTTGGATAGGTGACAAGACTTTTGTCAGGTAGTGTATAACTGTCCTATGAAAGTGAAATGACAAATAACATTTTGATAGTAGCTTACATTACATAAAAGTCAGTCACTATAACCGACAATGCACATACATGTGCACAAGCCATGGCATGAATTTATCTGCTCTCACTTCTGCAGATCTATGTGCCCTCCAGAAACTTGCGTTCTGTGAATGAACGTCGCGTCGTGGTTCCATCCCAAAGAGGGAAGAAATCACTTTCGAGAACGCTCACGCTCAATCTGCCCAGATGGTGGAATGAACTCCCTAACTGCATCAGAACAGCAGAGTCACTCGCTATTTTCAAGAAACGACTAAAAACTCAACTATTTAGTCTCCACTTCACTTCCTAATCTGAAATTGCCTCTCTGGATATACCACTAACTGTACTCAAAAAAAACAAACAAAAAAAACAATTACTAATGCTTTCCTTCTTAGACTTTACAGACCTGAAACTCGCCTTTAGTACTTATTCATTGTTGCTCTTATAGTTGTGTAAATTGCTTCCTTGTCCTCATTTGTAAGTCGCTTTGGATAAAAGCGTCTGCTAAATGACTAAATGTAAATGTAAATATAAATGAATACATGCAAAATACACATGCAGTTAAACTTGATTTATATATAAATAAATTAATTAATTAATTTAAACGTTTTAAATTAATGGATACAATTAACATAAAACACTCCTTAAAAGAAAAATTAAACTCTTCTTTCACAGACCAAAAAAAAAACTGCCAGGTTTGGGAGGAAAACAAGGCTTTGAGTAGACGGAAATCCTTCTTCATTAATGACGTGAGCTCTTCAATGCGCAATGTAAACTAATGTTGTGGTCATCTCTTTTCTACCAATATACATGGGGGGATGCTAATGTAAATATTCAGTAAGAACGTAGCATTAGGTTTAAGCTAAGTTTAGTGAAACACAAAAATATTTAGTAGTGTGTCAGTTGTAACTTAGAGTCCCTTTAAGTCTAAGTTTTAACTTACGCACTGCTGACGCAACCGGCCTCTATCTCCATCCTGAAAACCATGGTATTCACTGGGGTTCCCAAAAGTTTGTACATGATTGTATTTGATACATCTTTTTATTAATTTTGGTTTCAAATCTTGTTTGCAGTCATCAATTATAAGTATGATTACTATCAGTATATGGCAAGTTTTGGTAATAAAAATACGTTTTAAAATTTTTGTACGTTTAAAATTAATGCACATTAAAAATCATGTACTTTTGTCGTGGTAATAAAGCGTGCCTCACCCATGTCACAGAAGCCAGAGAGTGCGCTGTACATGCCTGGAGGAAACATGGCCTGTCGCGCCAGCAGACACCTGCTCCCATCAGACACCAGAACAATCACCACTGGAGACATCTGCACAGAGACGTGTTCATGCAGTTAGTGGACAAACGAAACTGCTTTTTGCAGGATATTCAATGAGAAATTCAACTAATATCAACTACTATGTGATTAAATTGGTCACAATAAGGTTCAATTAGTTCATCTTAGTTAATGTAACTCCTGACATGAACAAACAATGAACAATACATAACAGTAGTTAGTCATCCTTATTAACTTTAGTTATAATAAATAAAGTTCATTGTTAGTTCTTGTTAACTCGCAATGATTAACAAGCAAAACCTTAAATTTTCAATAATGCATTATATATAGATTATCTATTTATAGTGTATATTCTTAGTTGATGTAAATAATGACATTACGTGTAACCAATTTGTTTTTACTATGGAGAAATTGCTCTCATCTGATTTATTTGTGTTCTGAAGATGAATAAAAGTCTTGTGATTTGGAAATAACACGACCGTGAGCAATCAATATTAGAATTTTCAATTTTGGGTGAAGTAACCATTTGAAAAACCTACAAACATCCTTATTGCTAGCATGAGATTTGTCTTTAAAGGGTACCTATGGTGAAAAACCTACTTTTCAAGCTGTTTGGACAGACATGTGTCGGGTATAGTGTATAGACAGTCATATTGGGGTGATATAAACACACCCAGTCCTTTTTTTCGATAAACCAACATAAAAACGATGGACCAACTGGAGCGGTTTTAAGACCGACCGCAACTTGACGTAGGAGTCCAGTCAACCCCCCCAACACCACCACCACCAATATTGATTGACAGGCGCGCATTACCATACCCTCAGTTTGTCGTTTCACGTCTGCCATTTTCAGCGTGTGAGTAAAAGCGATGTCACCAAAGAAACACCCTTGCTCTATTTTTGGATGTAAGGCTCATTGGGCTCAACACAAGAGCCTTCATCGTCTTCCTGCAAACCAGCAACAGAGATTTTACATTTAGCAGCCATTTGCGCTGAACATGCAGTGAATGCAACGTATCGAGATTCAGGTCATTAAAAACAGCTGATCCAACGAGTCTTTCAGCACTCTCTCCGAAAACACTCGGCTGGCGAATCAAAATTCACCACATGATCGCTCTCATTGGCGCCATTGTTTGTAACTTTAGGTGGGCTTGCAAACCTGTGTACTTTTCATTGCGTCTTCCTTAAACTTCAGCCGTTTGCATTTCCCGTGGTTACAGAAGCTCCGTCATCTCAACTAGGAGCGGCCGTAAATGGTGAGTGCGTTCCTCCAATGGAAATAACGAACTTGCCTCAGTTATAGCCTCAGTTAAAGTAAATCCAGTGTGCATGGTTATTAGTCTTGGTGTACAAGCTCTGAACTTTAAACTAGCACACAGTTGGCATAACTTTGTGTAGTTGATGCAGTTTTGTTCCGTACAGAAACGCGGTGTTGAGAAACCTTTAATATTAATTAACTGTGACGAATTAAACTGCGGTTAATAGTGAAAGCAGTCAATCGTTGCATCTCTATACGGATAACACATGCACCGTTACATAGCGGCTGGAAAACTAAACAAAGACACAAATGATTTTGTAACTACCACTTTGACACATTCATGGTCTGTGTCCGAGTCATACATGTACGGCTGAATGCTGGTCCTCTCACTCATGTTGCTTCTCTCTGTCTGCCGGTCTTTTGCAATTCACAAAGCAGGGGAGCTCTTGGCTCTGCCGCCTTGTTAAGTTGGGCGGGAAGTCGAAACTAATTTTCATGTGAAGCAACACACCCCTAAAACAACGACCTGTGTAGACGCCCCCAAAATGACACTTTTTAACACATTATAAAAAAAACCTGAATTGTGTTTTGAACTGAACCTAAACTGGTACACTCAGAAGAACCATAATATAAAATCTTTGAAAAAAAGGGTAAAATAAGTGCCCTTTAAAAAGTTATTGTGTCTGATTACTGGTACAATCTATTATTGTACCATAGTAGACTTCATAATCGTTACTGGAATTCTTTAGAAAAATCAGAACACTAATCCTATCAAATGGCATGCATGTGCACACGGACAGTTATCTTGTTGTCGTACACAGTGAAAAGCATCTGCTTACTTTAGGGTAGTAGGTGATACCACTGCTTTGGCAAACTCTAAAACTTCCTGATTGGTTCCTGGTGGTGGGCTGCCCTGTGGCACTACAGAAGCCATTGGTCTGGTGCCATCGGAGGAGAGCTTGGCCCTTTAACAAAAAAAACAACAACAGAAAATCAAACTGCATTTGCCCTTATGGGCTCTATTTTGACGGTCCATGTGCAGAGCACAAAACGCAAGGCATTAACGCTTTTAGGGCGTGTCAGGACGCATTTTTGCTAATTTAAGGACGGTAAATCTGCCTTGCACCGTGGCTCATGGTCTAAAAGGGTTGAGTATATTTTCTTAATGAGTTATAGGTGTGTTTTGAGAATAAACCAATTAGAGTCTCATCTCCCATTCCCTTTAAGAGCCAGCTGCGTCGCTCCATAAGCGCATTTGCTATTTACATAAAGTAAGTGGAAAAACTGAGCATTTCACAAGCAAACATTTAAAAGTTTGTTTTAACAGAAAACAGTTAAACAGAGCAGCTACCGCGCAAGAATGAGAGATAATGGATCTACTTTCACTTTCGCTCTTGGATAGGGAAACCTTTATGCACAGACATTAATTAGTCTATAAATAATTAATTTTGTTTGTTAAGCGCAAATATTCATTTCAAAACTATTTCTAAATTCAGTTCTAATTTCCAGCAAACAAATAAATGAATAATGATAACAAAGTGTGCTCAAAAACCTGAGTTATATCCCAAAACACATGCTGTGCCCCATATGGTCTAAAACCTGAGAGGTGGGCAAATCTAAGCTTGTTTTTAATAAAACAAATATAAATATGGATATAATAAATAAAACTGCTAATAATAATAACATTATACAAAAGCAAATTGTTATGAATGAACTGAAAAAGCCTCCCGAGATGAAGAAGACGTAAAAGCAGTGATTTTTCATATTTATGTAGGCTAGAAAATAATGTAATATTTTAATCCTTTATATTTATATCCTATATCTATTCTTATTATATACTATATATATCCTTAATATTTAAATTTTTTTCATATGTAAAGATATTTGCCTATTGCTCTCTTGTGCGTATTAAGCAGTGCATAAGCGAGGCGCTACTTTGTGCCGGAGTTTAGACCGGGTTAGTTTTGGTCTAATGAAAAATCTATTATAGATTCTCAAAATAGCAATGCGCCAGCGGTCCGCCTCAGAACGCCTTCCTTTTTAGACCAGAACACCTATGGACGCAAAAATGAGCGCTAATGCATTTGCTATTTAAAGAGCGTAGCGCAACGCCTCAAAACGACTCTTGCGCCAAGCTGAAACTACCAAAAGACTACTGCGCCACGCCTTGCGCCACACTGCGCCGGGTGTATGATAGGGCCCAAAGTCTTAATGTTAGACTTATTATCAATATTTAGCTTGGAAAGACTCTCCTTACATTATATTACTATGAGGATGACTAAGCAGCTTTCTGCCTCAAAGGCATTCATTGTGAGCTCATTTAAGCTTATCAATACAAATGTTCAAGTTAACTCCAATATGTTGTTTGCATGTACTTTTCAACTGCAACGAACAGTACTTGATTTGTGAGTTATTTGGTGATTATTGACTATACAACACATTAATGATGCCATTATGAGCAATGTATGTTTATTATAACAGTGTCATCATGTTGATTTCTATTATGTTACACACTTTATATCGTTTAAATGCCACATATATGTTTGAAATGTACATGATTAGTTTCAGTAATTATCAATGTGTGGTAATTTGTATTTTCTTCATTTATAGTAAACCACACATACACAAACACACCCATCAGCACACCAATTATAAATGCTGGGAAGTTCTACATCCATCAACCAGATTAAAGTTTGTTTTTTGAGAACTGGATTGTTGCACCTCTTTTTAATGGAAGAGCATGGCTGGAAAGCAGGAGCTAGTGTAACGCACACAGTAATAATCGCAAATAATGACGATATCCAAGAAGATAACATTAACATCCGTTGTAACCATGGTTTGCCTAGATTGTGTGTGCCAGATTGTGTTTGCCTAAAGTTTTTGTGGTTCTGCAGCTGGATATTATCGGTACTGGCGGAAAATGTTATCTTTTAATATTTTCATGGGTTTATCTTCAGATGTCATATTTTTAAAAGAAATGAAATTCACTGAGAGAGAGAGAGAGACAGAGAGAGAGAGAGAGAGAGAGAGAGAGAGAGAAAAAATCACATTACAAATTGTAATTTACAACCTATGCATACTCGCTTATCTTGCGGTTTCACGTCTATATCACAAAAGCCCCGCCCCTTCACATTAGGCGCTAAGTAATAGTACATTCGTAATTATTTTTTCGCTTACTATAGTCTTCAAAATGTACACCTGGTTAAAAACTGGCACTTTATAGAAGTCAAGTTACAGTAGGGATGAACCATCTACATAAGCCTCTTCTATGGAGACATCCAGCGGCCTTGAATATATGGACGAGGTGAAGAGGCTCAGGCGGGAACACAGAAATTCAGCAGAGATGTACTGATGAAGAGAATTAGGCCTACGCTAGAGAGTGACAAACGCAAATATAGCGACACTTACATTGGGTTTGGGTTTACATGGATTGGAGATGCAAAAATTCCAAATGGAATGTGTAGTCTGTGGAGAGGTTTTAGCTAATGGCAGTCTTAAGCCCTCATATATGGTGCGACACAGCCACTTACAAGACATGCCTGCAAGTTTTTTTTTTTCCAAGGAAAATTGGAGGAACTGCAGAAGAAGAAAAAAAGGAGGCCCAAAGAAGCAGTAGCTTTCATGCGAAAACTTGCACCATTGGTTTCATGGGTAAACTGCAGCATCCACCAAGTAGCTCTAGCTTGATAAAAAACATGCCATATTCAATTCAATTCAGCTTTATTTGTATAGCGCTTTTACAATGTAGATTGTGTCAAAGCAGCTTCACATAAATGGTCATAGTAACTGGAACAGTGTAGTTCAGTTTTTAGTTTTAAGTTCAGTACAGTTGTTTAGCTCAGTTCAGTGTGATTTAATCATTACTGAGAGTTCAAACACTGAAGAGCAAATTCATCAATGCGTAGCTCAACCAATCCTGAACCATGCGAGCCAGTGGCGACAGCGGAGAGGGAAAAAAAACTTCACCTGATGGGAGTGAAGAAAAAAAACCTAGAGAGAACCAGACTCAGTTGTGCATGACCATTTTAATTTCTCCGCTGGCCAAAAGTCTTGTGCAGAGCTTCAGTCACCGCAGATGAACTTTTGTCTGTACTTAATGATGCTGTGAAAATTATAAACTTCATAAAAGGTCACCCATTAAAACTGACATATTTTATTATTTTTATTTTAATTACGGAATCACAGAAAATGTGTATTTAGTTATTGTAGTTAAAAATGTGAAGTTTAAACGGTGCTTGATAGATGTCGAATATTAGAAAGAGGTGCACACAGCAAAAAGTTTGGGAACCACTGCAGTAATGTAAATGTTAGTCATTACACAGTAAGTAAATAAAAGGTTTTGAAGGCAAAAAAAAAAGTTCGCAATTACAACAGGTCAACTCACTTTTTAGTTAAGCAATTATCAATTTTTACAGTGTACATACTTTTGCAGCAAGAGCAGACTCTGATGGAGTTATCATGAAGAAAGCTTTCCGGAGGTCCACAAATGTACCTCTGCACTCCTGTTCCAATGCACTGCGCTCTACTTCACCTACAGTAAGAAGACATCTCCATGAGGACACAACACATACGAATGTCATATAAAAAACCTGTAAAAATCCACTTGGTTTTTCAAAAAATAATAAATTAAAAAAAAGTAATAAAAGGAGACCAATTCTGCAAAAATCTTTATTATAGTTTATAAGTGGCTTAACCCTTTCACACTTACAATCACACCGGTGTCAGAGTATATACAGCAATCAGAGAGTGAAATTTAATACCTATTACATATTTTTAAAGAATCGTTCCATACATTTTAAGACCGTATGACCCCTTTTCAACCGGAAACACTGGCGAGATATCTTACAGTACATTTACTAAATATTAATGTAAGAAATGAATCCAAAACTAAGACATTATTCATATACTGAATAAAAATAGATTAAATCTAGCTAAATCAGCAGGTTGGCACCTATCGATCTGCATTAGTAATGGTGTTGCTTTGGTTATTGCAGTAAACAAAGCAGCATGATGTCAAATCTAGCAGGATTTCATTGATTTCATAAACTACACAGCATCCTGATATTCGTAGATTTAATTTAGGCCAACTTTAGCACACAATTATACATTGCAAAAACAAAAATGATGCACAATTTAAAACTTCTCTATACTGATTTATCAACTTTTAATACTTTTTAAGACCCCGCAGACACCCTGAGTGTGGTGAGAGGGTGAAAAAGGTGAAGTCTAGATAGAATACAGCTGAGGATACTCGCGTCAATAAAGTGTAATTTTTACTTTCTTTCCTTAATGTACCTAATATTTCTTTATAAGGACCGAAAAACTGACTATTCTGTAGAATGATCCATGTATCTTCATTAGATTTAGCATAGTGTAGAAATACATGACTGTTTTAACTGACCCACTTCCAGAGAGAACTGGGGTTCACTCTTGTCGGTGCATCCCAGAAGAAGTGATTCATTAATAAAGTGTTTGTCCTTTCCAACCTTCTCAAGAATTTGTTCCAAATCTAGAGACATCAGGAAACACAAAATATACATTTAGATCCAGTATCTTCTAACTTTTGTGGTGGAAATATTCATATGCTGGTGTACTGAGACCTGCGGTTTTGAAAGAAGCCACTTTGCAAACCCCACTTCTGGTCTTCTGCAGCAGAGGAGCGAGTTTATGATACAGTAAAACATTGGCAAATTTCAGCGCCTCTCGGCACGCCTCATCATCTTCCTTTAATCTCATAAGATACCTAAATGTAAAGATTTTACATTATTTTCAGCAGTTAAGGTAACGAAATTATCAATAATTTTAAAGTAAAATCATAAGTAAATCAAAAGTTGAGGTGGATATTCAATTTCTGCTAATTATTTAATTCACCTAAAAATGCTTTTTACAAATGAAAACAAAAAAAACTGTTTTAGGACTGTTTGCATTATAAACTCATTGATATTTCATTTTTCTCACAGAATAAATTACAAATTGTGTACAAATGTCATATTGCATAATGATGATTTAAAAAAATATTAAATTAGCTGTCAAATATAAATTCTAATATTTATTCAATATACACTGTAAAGAAATGCTGGGTCCCACACAAACCAATTGTGTTGGAAAAACATGAAAAAAAATGATGTTAACTCATCAAAAAATGATGTTAACTTTTTATGAATTTAAATGGATTAAACATAAACAAGTATGTTGTGCCCCCCCCCCCCCCCTCAAAAAAAATAAAAAATAAAAAACTCCAGAACTGTGTTGTTTCAGCTCAATTTAAATAAGTAATCAGAACAAAAAGCAAATGTCATTTTTTATGTAGATTACAATCTTAAATGGTCTTACTTTTGATTTTAGGGGCTGTGCATGTTCTTGACAGCAGTGGTGTAAAGTAACTGATTACAAATACTTAGGTTACTGTAATTGAGTAGTTTTTCCTCAGAAACTGTAATTTACTAAGTAGTTTTAAAAATGTGTACTTTTACTTTTCCTTGAGTACATTTTTAGTACAGTATCTGTACTTTTACTCTAACTACTTTCCTTCAACCTGCAGTCACTACTTTATTTTTTCTTGTTTATGGGGATTAGAAAAATCAGTCCTGTAATTCCTTTCCAATCAAATCACACATAGAAGGTAAATTGCATCATAATGAACTACTTCAAGACATGTGCACCTTACATTGCAGCAAACTGTTGGAAGCATTAAGTGTCCAAGAAGATGTTCAAAATCTTTACACGCATTGACCCAGAGACTGTTTAGATCAGGGATGCCCTAACACAGTCCTGGAGGGCCGATGTCCTGCAGATTTTAGCTTCATCTTGCCACAACATACCTGCACGGATGTTTCTAGAAAGCCTAGTATGAGATTGATTAGCTAGCCCAGGTGCGTCTAATTGGGATTGGAACTAAACTTTGAAGGACACCGGCCCTCCAGGACCGAGTGAGGGCACCTCTGGTTTAGATGCATGTCACTGATGAGAAGATGATGGATATTTACTGTATGATGACCGAAATGGCCTTAAACACCTAGCAGACACAAGGCGTCAACATGCCTTCAGATTGAAATTGTACCCTAACGTCGTGGAGACGCTGCATTTTGTTTAGAAATGAAAATTCGGTTTACATCAGAACTCAACCTCAGCCTGATGTCCATGTCCAACCTAAAACCAACCAAATATCAGCGTCTAATGATGTTACAGCTTGACGTTGTGTCGACGTTACCACTATGACATCTATCAGACGTTGAATTTTGGTTGCCATAACTGATGAATAAATGTCAGTGTTTGACATCAATAGGATGTTGGTTTAAGATGTTGGCTTAACATTGGATTTTGGTCACTTTCTAACAACCTAAACCAACTAAATATCAACGTCATTAGATGTCATTATTGGACATAGTGTTGTCCTTAGAAGCTGACTAGACATTGAATTTTGGTCACCTGACATCACAACCTAAATCTAACCCTGTATTAACGTCTTATGACATTGTGTGCCTGCAGGGCAATAACTAAATGCACTACAGAATGTTACGTTTACACACAGAAACAAATTACATGTAAATGCATCAACTTTTAATGGCATAATACTCACTACTCATGAGTACTTTTAAAAGGGCTACTTTTTACTTTTACTTTGAGTAATATTTATAACAGGCACTTTTACTCTACTCACACTACTGTTTTAGGCAAGTAATGGTACTTTTACTTAAAGAGCCCATATTATACATGAAATAGGGTCATATCTTGGTTGTAAGGGTCTCCAACAACAGTCTAATATGCATGCAAGGTCAAAAAACACTTTCATGGTCTTATAATCTGCATTTATTTTTACCTAATTATCCCAGCGACTCCTGTATGAATCGTCCAGTGATTCATTTGTTCCCAAACCCCTCCTTAGCGCGGAGCTAATCTGCGCTGATTGGACCGATGACAGTCTGTCGCGATTGGTCGACTGCCTTCAGTCAGAGAGGGAAATGGCCAATAGCTAATCAGCAATTTAAAAAGTAATCACAGTTCATACACGCTCGATAGTGTAGGCGTGGATTTTAGCTGCCACACTATGGCGAGTGGATAGTGCCACGGATAACCGAACGAAGGAGACAGTCGTGTACTCGCCATACCACACACACACAAAAACACACACACACCTCCGGATGACAACGCTCCCACTTCAGCCCGCACCCGCCAGGTTTTAGCCTGAGAACCCGCTCCGTTTTCTGCCCGCCGCGCCCGGTCCCGCTAGAGCGGAGAACACAACCAAATATCACCCAGTATACAGTCCAGACAGCCAAGCTGTCTGTATAAAAACACACACACAGCACAAAGTACACAAAGCTCGTTCGTTCGTTCGCTCTCTCTCGCTCGCTCTCTCTCTCTCTCTCCCTCTCTCTCCCCGCGCCAGATTTCTGCGGCGCGGGAATACATTTCCGAATAAATCGCGGGAGCAGAACTCTAGCACGGAGCTCCATAAACAAACAGCACGCGTCGCGTTTTTAACGTGACTTTGCACGCGATAAGATAATATATCCAGTTAACCTGATACAGTACACGCGGTTACAAGTAACAAATCACAACTAAATACATTTGCAAGCTAGAGTAAACGAGGCAACAACTTTAACCGCACGTACTTACACTTGAGAAATGTAAGAAACCCATCCTGACGTCCATCAGTTACTCTTTACTGATCCTTCCTTTAACAAACTCAGATGAAGTATTCTTTGTAGCATGTAGCTTCCAGAAGTTTCCAACTGCTTGGTTATAATGCTGATGTTTCATCTTTGGGTAGAGACTCAATATATCCATCTGCAGTGTGACTTCAATCGACCGGCATGTTTGTGTGTGTGTGTTCGTGGGTGTGCGTGTGTTTGTGGGTGTGTGTGTGTCTGGGTTTCTGCGTCAGAGGGCGGGGCCTCAGGTTTGAAATCTCCCGGGTTTGCGCGTGCACGTGAATAACTTGGTTTCGTTCGTACGTCATGGCGAAACACCTAATGAGTCTGTATCAAGGCGACTCGTTTGAAGCACTATGAGTCGACTCTTTTATAGATGAATCAACCGTTTTAAACACTGTATTCTTACAGATTTAAGCCTTAGCTGGATACTTCACTTCACTTAGAGCTGTGTTACACACTACATGGAGGGGAATTTTCAAAAACCCATAATATGGGCTCTTTAAGTAGGATTTTTCAGTACTCTTTCCACCACTGCTTGACAGGTCTTGTGAGGTTTGTTGCCAATTTACTTTGTAATATAACAATGTTTACCTTATATATTGAGGTAAAGTTGGTTTTATATTCACACTTTCAAACTTTCTCCTCAATATTATATTTTCTACGTTTTTTTTTTTTTTGTAAAGTATTTTTTTCGAATTCTCAATAAAGAAATCTAATTGGCAGCCAATGACCATCAAACTACAACATTGTTCACACATTAATAAATATTGCTAATGTTGTTTTGAATTCATACTTTTATGCTATTATTGACCGATTATTCAAAGGTAGCATGGTAAACAATATAGGTACAAGTTGTCAAATTGTTGAACAAATGTATAAACAAAAAAAATAACACTTTGCCTCAATATCTCATATTTATGTAAAATAATTCCAGTATGACATGGCAACGTATTCAATGTTAGAAATAAACAATGACAGACCTCGTTCGAGACACATATCCGGAGCAGGAGCGAGAAAACACCAGATTACAGTTGTTGAAGAGCTTGAAGGACTGCAGCATGGCTAAAATACCCACAATAAACTGCCTGTGTGTATGAAGGTTTCAACATTCACACTCAACTGAAACAGTCATGGGTTTAGGAACTTGCCCTTGAAACTTTGAAACAAACCTAAGGTGACAGTACAATCTATTACTTCAGTGTCACGGATTTCTTTAAACGGCAGACGTTTTGTCCTAGTTTTTGTTAAGGCACGATGAGATGAATCACAGAAACGCAAACTAGAACACACAAATCCGCAATAATTCGAATAAATAAATGCTGATAATTATATGCTGTTCTCACACTTTAGTAAAATGTACTTTTTATAGCATAATACACTATTACGTAAGTAATACACTATCAAGTTGTAACATACTTATTCAAATAATCATGATTGTTTTTGTGCTCATGAAAACATTGCCGCGCCGCGTAACATGCCCTACGTCATTACGTCATCAAGAGTGGTCCGCAAATAGCGGCATGAAAGAAAATGTGAAAGTAAGGAAACAGCGCTCTCTGTCGATTTGTCTTTTGCAATGTACATTGTTCATTTTTAGTTGTAGTACATAATTATACAAACAACCAAAAAAGACTATTTATCGCCTTGTTTGGGATGTATATCGTTAAACAAACAAACAAATAAAATCAAAGTACATGTTTTATTATTATTTTTCATTGTTAATACTACAACAAACATGTACAAATTAACCAAACAGACAATATAGAAGAACTACAACAATAATATTAATGATGATAATAATATCTCAACAAAATCTGAATTAAATAAATGCAAATACACTCACCGGCCACTTTATTAGGTACACCTTATCATGTTGGACCCCCTTTTTGTCTTCAGAACTGCCTTAATCCTTCATGGCATAGATTCAATAAGGTACTGGTAATATTCCTGAGAGATTTTGGCCCATATTGACATGATAGCATCACACAGTTGCTGCAGATTTGTCGGCTGCACATCCATGATGTGAATCTCCTGTTCCACCACAAACCCCAGGTGCTCTACTGGATCGAGGACTGGTGACTGTGGAGGCCATTTGAGTACCGTGAACTCCTTTTCAAGAAACCAGTCTGAGATCATTCACGCTTTATGACATGTCGCTTTATCCTGCAGGAAGTAGCCATCAGACGATGGGTGCACTGTGTTCATAAAGGGATGGACATGGTCAGCAACAATACTCAGGTGAGGCAACAAGATTTTTTGCGCCCACAGAACTGCTCACTGGGTTCTCTTTTTTAGACCATTCTCTGTAAACCCTAGAGATGGTTGTGCGTGAAAATCCCAGTAGATCAGCAGTTTCTGAAATACTCAGACCAGCCCGTCTGGCATCAACAACCATGCCACGTTCAAAATCACTTAAATCACCTTTCTTCCTTATTCTGATGCTCGGTTTGAACAGCAGCAGATCGTCTTGACCATGTCTATACTTGGCTAAATGCACTGAGTTGCTGCCATGTGATTGGCTGATTAGAAATTTGGTTTAACAGGTGCACCCAATAAAGTGGCCGGTGAGTGTCTATCATGTGAATACTTTATTATTAAAATCACAGTGCATGTATATGAAGGTATCAGTATCACAGTATTTTAATATATCAGTAACATTTTATTCCCCTTTTATTTATTTGTTGTAGTGATGTATGGGTTTAGCTATTTCACCTTTGTTACCAATAGCTTTAAAAGATGAAATCCATAATATAAATGTATATTCATGATGTTTTTGCATTGTATTAAATGGAAAGAGACAAATTATTTAAATTCTCAATCCTTATTAGGTTATATGAAAGTGATTACTATTAATATTTGTGGATTTTTAGGGAAAATAAATGTTAACAACTAAAATAAAGTATTGAAATAAATAATACAATAAATTGAACAACAATAAATGATAATAAAAGTAAAAAATAATTCACATGAATTAATTTATTAAGACGACTGAGATCTTTTGGTGTGTGTCAGACACTGTTAAAGACTTTCTATGATTCTGTGGTGTCTTCTGTGATGCTGCTGGGGAGGCAGACAGTTGGAGAAGGAGAAAAACCAATTAAAGAAGCTTATAAAAAGGGCAAGTTCTGTTGTGTACTACCCACCATAGAAGAGATTGCAGATGATCAAATTATGGACAATTTTGTCAGTACACGGTGGTACAAATAATGTTCCTCAAGGAACAGTTTTATACCTTTTTAAAAGTTGTACCTTATATGGTGCAGAAAAGACCTCCTATGATACTGTTCTGTGACTTTTACGGTACAAATTAAAATGAAGGTACACAATTGTTCTCATAAAAAAGGTACATACGTGTTGGAAAACCCCTTCTTTATGACAATATCTATGAAAATAAAAATTTTTATGAATAATTTCCATATTAAACATGAATCATCATTTAAAAGCATATGTTATATATAAACATTAATTATTAAGTTCTATAAAACAAAACAACTGGTAAAACAAAACCATAGTAAATTAAACATTTAAGGCATTTTCAATAAACATTTGGTAAGCATTTTCTGATAAATACATTTTCATTATTGATATCTGCACGTTTTAGTGTTTGCTTTCCACTACGCACATGAGCTGGCAAAAGTCCTGCATATGTAGTGTTAATGCAGACATTTTAGTATTGCAAAACTAATCAAACATTAGGCATATCTCCTTACAATACTTTTGCATAATTATATTTCTCATTCATTCATTCATTTTCTTGTTGGCTTGGTCCCTTTATTAATCCGGGGTCGCCACAGCGGAATGAACTGCCAACTTATCCAGCAAGTTTTTATGCAGCGGATGCCCTTCCAGCCACAACCCATCTCTGGGAAATAATTATATTTCTATTTTAAAAAAATAAAAGTTTTATATTGTAGATTAGGAGAAAGTATTTCTGTAACATTTTTGTGAAAAGTTTGTCAAACTTTTAGCAATAAATATATCTTTTGATTTATATTTATTCTAAGTATTTTTTATTATATATTGTAAATGGAAAAGGTGCATTTAAACAAAAAGAAACTTAAAAAAAATCAATGTTTAAAATGTATTTGATGTTTTATTTTTACTGAAATTTAGCAAATAGCAAAATGCCTTTAAACAGTTCTCGAAGGAACACTTTTGACACTGTTTAGGTACAAAGTATCTTGTCACTGTATAGTGGCACTTTCATGGATCACATTTGAATCTTTGATGAAGGTACAATATGGTATCTGCAGGTTTTAAAAACTAAAGGTACATTTTGTTTTCCCATGGTACAAATCATGTCCTTAAAGGTACAAACTGCAATGGTACAAATTAGTTTCTTTGTCGTAAGGTACGATTCTGTTCCATAAAAAGGTACTTTCCCAGTCACAAGGGTTTGTACCTTCTTTGGTTCAACATTGTAGACTTTTTTTTTCTGAGAGTGTTTGATGAACCACAATTGTCATTCCCTTTTTGATACAGTCCAAGAGTGTGCAAGCTGCTGCTGTTCAGCCCGGTGTAACAGGGAATGATACAGAAAGTCATTTTTACCAACAGTAATCACACTGCATAGCAAAGTCATACTAGATGAATTATGCTGAATTTTAATTGCATGAAATACTGTAGATATGGACTAATGTCTACTCATTGTTTGAAACTAGCAGTGCCGTATGAATGTAATTTTAGTAATATTATTGTCTTTTTATATATGTAATTTATTTTATTTATCTTATAGTATGGAAAGCTCTGCTGTGATGTGAATTTCCCTTTGGGATTAATAAACTCTAAACAAACAAACAAATATAAAATTATATAAAAATTCAAGTAAATGATTAAGTTGTTAAAACAAATAAACAAACAAATATATTATTGAATAAAAGTAAATAAACAACATTAAATACAATTTATCAATACATTTATTTTTTTTTTCAAATAAACAAGTAAACGCTTTATTATAACAGTGCTATAGTTGCTAAGTATGAGCTACAGATGGCGCTGCACTCAATTATTTGTCTTCAGTGGATGTTTCTCCAGTTCATCTGCGCCGCGGATCTTTCACAGCGAACCGACCGACCGCTGAGGAGTGAAAGAGGGACGCGAGCTAACCGAACAACATTGATCGATTTTGCTTTATCGACTCATTCAAGAAGCGACAGTAAGTTGACCTGCTTATTTATTCTGAAGAAAAACATATTTAGAAATGATCGCATGCTCCCAAGACCATAGACAAAAGCCCAAGACACTCTAGAAATTTCCCTGCATATTTCCATAGTTTTCCCGAGGCTCGTTGCTTGGATGTTTCTTGTAAAAATGCCGGTTCCCAAAACATTTATTAATGTATGTTTTTAATCTCTCGTAGACTTGAGACAGAAAAGTAGATGAAAAACCTGTCTGTTTTTCTGTTTTCAAAACAATAAACTGCGGTTATAAAATCACAGCCATCATTTGTACAGTAACGCTAACGTAGAGATTCCTACAGTAACGTTATACACTGAATATCAAAGAGTTGTTTGTAACACGAATAACAGTATTATTAAAGTCAAATGTGCTGGTTGATTCAATAGAGTATACAACTACAATGTTAGGATAACGTTCATTTAACGCGATAATTGTATGTTTAAATAACGAGACTATATTTTTCATGCTAAAAGAAAGATTTAATCGGTAAATATGAATATGCTAAATATAACGTTAGTTGCAGCCATAAAAAGAGACTAGGATTCCAACAACATGAGCTATTCGAATAATGTTAACTTAGTAGAAGATAGCATAGTAAAGTCAGTCAAATGTTTGGGTTTTGAAGGGGGAGGGGAAAGGACGTGGCACTCAATCTACATCAGTTTACAAATGTCCCGTCTACTGTAAAACATTACAACAATAACAGTCTCCTCTAATAATAAGAATACAAGTGATTTTGTTAGTTAACATAAGAGTAGACTATTGTCTTTAAAGAAGTACACCTAGAGAAAATGACTCCTGTTGTACTTAGCATATTACATGATATTAACATTGTACGCTTAAAAACCAACAAATATCTATGAATATACACCGAAAACACATTTCTGTTTAAATAAAGTGGAGTCTAAATTTGTTTTAAATAATAGTTTGACTTTTAATTTAGTTATTATCATATATAAGCGGCACATTTGAGCTTACCTGAAACAATGTGTATACTTATCAACATTGTTGGGGGTAACGCATTAAGTAACGCGAGTTATGTAATACCATTACTTTTCTAAGTAACGAGTAAAGTAAGGCATGTCTCAAAGTCGTATGTTAGAGAAAAGTTTGGCTTTTGCCACACAAATACCTCATTGTGAACAAAACCAGAGAAGTGTCCTTTAAATGAAATTACAGATTAATGTTCTGACAATGTTCGCTTTCTTTTATTTACAAAGTGAAACAGCTGTGGATTTGTTTTGGCACTGTACCTACACAAGTGTTTTGGGGTAACTTTAGCGAATTTGTGAGTGAGTTTATATATTAAAAATTTTCTTTGTTTTGGGAAAATATGTTATTTGGTTTTATTGATACAGACTATAATACTGAGAAAGCATTCTACCTCATAAATATTTTACTAACTTGCTAAAAACCACATCCATAAATGCAAATTCCCCAATAATAAAGCGTTTTTTAAGGAATTCATAAAAGAATTTAAACAATATTTTGAAACACGTTGTTTAAATAGCAAATGCATTTGTGCGCCCATAGGCGTTCTGGTCTAAAAAGGAAGGCGTTCTGAGGCGCATTGCTGGCGCGTTGCCATTTTGAGAAACTATAATAGATTTTTTATTAGACCAAAACAAACCCGGTCTAAACTCCAGCGTAGAGTTGCGCCTCGCTTACACACTGCTTAATAGCCTACACACAAGATGAAGAGCAATACACACATATCTTTACAAATGAAGAAATTAAAACATTAAGGATATATATAGGATATAATAAGAATATATATAGGATGTAAATATAAAGGATTAAAATATTACAAAACATATTATTTTCTAGCCTACATAAATATGAAAAATCACTGCTTTTATGTCTTCTTCATCTCGGGAGGCTTTTTCAGTTTATTCATAACAATTTGCTTTTGTATAATGTTATTATTATTAGCAGTATTATTTATTATATCCATATTTATATTTGTTTTATTAAAAACAAGCTTAGATTTGTCCACCTGCAGGTTTTAGACCATATGGGGCACAGCATGTGTTTTAGGATATAACTCAGATTTTTGAGCACACTTCGTTATTATTGTTCATTTATTCGTTTGCTGGAAATTAGAACTGAATTTAGAAATAGTTTTGAAACAAATATTTGCGCTTTATTATTTATAGGCTAATTGATGTCTGTGCTTAAAGGTTTCCCTATCCACGAGAGCGAAAGTGAAAGTAGATCCATTATCTCTCATTCTCACGCAGTAGATGCTCTGTTTTCTGTTAAACTGTTTACTGTTTTCTGTTAAAAAAGCTGTTAAATCATAAGGAAAATAACACACCTATAACTCATAAGGAAAATAAGCTCAACCCTTTTAGACCATGCGCCACGGCGCAAAGCGGATTTTCCCATCCTTAAATTAGCAAATATGGATTCTAACACGCCCTGAAAGCGCTTGCGCCCTGCGCTTTCCGTTTTGTGCATGGACTGTCAAAATGGAGCCCTAAGGCTATGAAAACATTATCTTGTCATGCCCTTTTTAAAACTCCCCTGTAACATCAGTACTTCATTTTGAATCACTTGCTTAATATTTTATTTTATTCTAAGCATTATATGTATTTCTTGTTAACCTTATTATATTTTTATTTTATGAATATTGTGCCGGTTATTCATTTTTTAATTTTAAATTTTATTTATTTCAATTCTTTTTCTTCTTTACTGCTTTATCCCCTCTATGTTCCTTCTATAGTTCACAATGTTTCGTTATACTGTAATAATTACTGACCATTAACTGTTCAATAGTAATAAAAAAGTAAAGTAGAAGTGTAGTAAAGTAAATTTAAAGTCAAAAATTCAAGTCAAAATTAAGTAATAATATTTGAGTTACTATTTAAAAAAAATGTAATGCACGTTACATTTAAGTTTAGCTAATTCGCTTTAAAAAAATTAATTGCTGAATTAAAATGATCCTGCACGCAATGAGAGAATGCAGGAACAGACAGAAATGGAAGACGGCAGAGCTTTACATATCTGTGATGGAAATATTCTCTTTATTTTGAACACATGGAAGAAAAGGAAAAGAGGATTATCTGAACGGACAGTGATTTTACTTCACCAATAAGACAAAAAAGTACAAATATAGCAAACGCATTGCTTTAAACTTTCATTAATCTGTATATACTGCATGTAGAGCTCTGGGGTCAGGAAGTTTTCTGAAGATAACATTATCCTACATATTTTTTTTTATGTGTGTGTTTTTTTAGGGTAAAGGAAGGTTATACAGTGTGATGTTAATTGTAGGGCTCCTCTATTTAAAAAAAAGAAGAAAAGAAACCTTGCAAGTTCTGAAAAACATCAGACCTGAGCCAGATCAGAAAAATACACAAACATAAAATGTAACTAAATGACGCAACTAGTTACTTTTTTGGGGAGTAACTCAATATTGTAATGCATTACTTTCTAAAGTAACTTTCCCCAACACTGCTTATCAAATTCATTTTTTTTTAATCAGTATAATCACTCACAAAATTGTTGTATAGTTTTCCTCAAAATGCTTCTAACTTAAACAACTGCACTTCTGACCTTGAATTAGAAGAAATAAAAAAATAAAACAGCTCACAAATGAATTAAATTGTTAATTTTGGTAACGCTAAATTAGATATTAATAACTTTTTTAGTGGTTTATTATATACCTGCAAACATTAGTTCAATCATTTAATAAAAGTTAGGAAGAGGTGTAATTATCAGTGGGTTGTGGTAGGGCTGCACAATATTGGAAAAATCTATTGTGATATTTTTTATTTTGAAATGTATATTGTGATATGAATACAATTTCACCAGATATTTATATTTGTAAATAATATAAATATTTATGTTTGTAAATAATTTATATTGTTAGATTTATTGGGATGATTAGAGTGCATCTCCATTAAATCTAATAAACGATCTATAATCTTTTTGGAGTCCCCCAACACATTTTCATTGTGGTCTGTCCTACTTGCAGTGCATTTCTTTATTTGCATACGTTGTGACTGTGTGTATTTTTATGCATAACAATCTATAAATACAGTCAAGATGCAATTGACATAAAGTGTTTTATCATTTCCTAAGTCTAACAGTATTTAAGTACAGTAGCTGAATGATAAAAATAAAAATAATTAAATAAAATTCATCGTAATTAAGGTCACAAATGGTACAATTTCTATGCTTTTAAAATCATAAAATCACTGGCATCAAAAACACATGCAAATGATGAATTGTAATACAAACTCATCATTGCATATATCCTGCAATGTGACTATTGTGAATGATCACATTGCAATATCGATGCTCTAATGATATATTGTGCAGCCCTTGTTGTGGGTGACCACATCCAGCAACCTTTCTTGACTTAACCCCAGGCTATTCTTTTTAGCATGTTCACGGCAGCAAGCTTTCAGTGCAAGTTAATACTAGTTTCTCAAGGGTTTAGTCAGGTCACATGTTCTGATCACATTCTTGTCTTTCTGAGTTAGGGTAAAGCTGAACATTTTTTTTACCAGGCACTTGTTTCCCAGTAGGAATTTGGAAATGTGCTATTGGTTTCTGGTCTTTTGTGGGTTTTTTTTTTTAAGTTCCTGTACTGCATGTTTTAGCAGCTGTTAAGTCTCAAACAGATGGTCAAGTGTTTAGAAAAGTCTGAGTACTGCATTAGTATGTTTGTTTGTGTGTTGTGTAGCGCTTTTGACAACAGAAGGCTTAAATAATGTTTAGGTCAGCGCAAATTTTCTAGTTTCGAATATACACAGAAACAGCTGTTTTGTTCCAGTTAATAATTTATCTGGGTTAATAATCCAGTTAATAACTGTCAGCTAGAGTCCCAGCTGGGTCAGGTGGCATTTCTGTGTGGAGTTTGCATGTTCTCCCTGTGTTTTGCTTGGGTTTTCTCTAGGTCAGTGGTTCTCAAACTTTTTTTTACCAAGTACCATCTCAGAAAAAAATTGTCTCTCCAAGTACCACCATAATGAGCTGTATTGAAATATAGTAGGGTTGTAGGCCTATAAGCAGCTACAGCTGTGCACAGTTCAAAAACGAGGCAGATTAATTCCTATTATTAAGAATATGTATTTTTGTCAGCCACTTTAAACATTATAAATAGTTTGAACAATAACTGCTTGCAGGTAAAAACAAACAAACAAACAAACAAACAAACTAAAAAAAAGGTTTAAATTACTCTTGCTCTAGCATAGACATCTCTATAGTGAAAACATCCGAGAAGCATTATTCCAATGAAACATTTGTTTTTAAGTAGTTTTTTCTGTCACTGCAACACAGAAATGCCTTAGTCCCGCCCTTAGGTTTTATGCAAAACTAGACAAGGTCGACTGTGATTGGCCACTTTTCATGTCAGTCACATCACTGCTTCGGAAACTGATTTTTAGCAGCTTATGACACAATGCACTAAAATAAACATTCTAAGCACAGCGCTGTGCTCGTACGCTTCAGGCAACACCCAATGTTGATCACATCACTATTATCGTACTTATCAAAGGATTAAAAGTGTAAATTTTTTCTTTCATTATCCAGCAATTCCTCCGCGTACCACTAGGAGGAATCCAGCATACCACTAGTGGTACGTGTGCCACAGTTTGACAATTTCCCCCACAGTCCAAAGACATGCAGTAAAGGTGATTTGAATAAACTAAATTGGCTGTAGTGTATGTGTGTGAGTGTGAGAGTGTATGGGTGTTTCCCAGTACTCGGTTACAGCTGGAAGGGCATCCGCTGTGTAAAACCTATGCTGGATAAGTTGCGGGTTCTTTCCACTGTGGCGACTCCTGGTGAATAAGGAACTAAGCCGAAAGAAAATGAATGAATGAATTTTGAATGGTTAAATGAAGTGAATAAAGTAAGCTCCCGAAGCATAATGAACAGGTCTTAAATACACAGCTACAATCTGTTTTGTTTGTTACACCACATATGTGAAGATCCATATTAGTTGGATAAAAATGAGGCTGTGTGTTTACATGCACAAAGCTTATCCATGATGCTAAATGATTTATATCCATTGGTTTATTTGGCAAACATATTTGTAATGCCTCAAATCAGGTCAAATTTGTGACTAGTTTCGAGCACATTGACCAACTGATACCATTGTAATTTGTACATTTGTAAGAAATGTTATCAGTAGTTTGCAGAACAACAAAAAAAATAGGTCCCACTTCATTAGTTAATTAGTTAAGTGGCCTTAACTACCAGGTACTTGCTTAAAAAAATAAGTACAATGTACTTATTGTGTTTATTATGTATTAGAGAACACTCATGGTGCTACTGAGGTGGGGTACTGATAAGGTTAGGGACAGTTTTGGTGGTATGGATTTAAGGTGGGTTAAGGTGCACTGTAAAAAAAAAATGCTGGGTTTCACACACTTTTTTATGCTGTCCCAACAGAAATTTATTAAAATAACTCAATCGTTTTTTACACATTTAGGTGGATTTAAAATAAAACAATTAGGCTTAAACAATTCAACTTAAAGATTGTTTCAACTCATTTTGAGTAAGCGGTTTAAAAAATAAATAAAATGTTAGCACATAATTTAATTTATTAAAGATATAATCACATGCAGATTTATAAGATTATTATTTATAGATTTTATTTTATGTAAAAAAGTGCATTGTACTAAATTATTTAAGTACATTAAGGCCACATTAAGGCCACTTAATATAAAGTGGGACCAAAAACAATATATTACTCAAACAGATAACTATCAATTTTTTTGTAAACACAATAACAAAAAAGGTTTTAAAAGGGTTAATCCAAAAAAATTAATTTCTGTCATTAATTATGTACTCTCATGTCATCAGTGGGCATAGACCTGTACAAGATTCTGAAGGTATGATAACCTTGGATGAAAATATCATGGGTTCACGGTGTTGTGATTACTGCTCCAAAATAAGTAATATTAAAATGTCTGGGTAAAAAGGAACGTTTTCACCCCATTGAACACAATATATTTTATTTTTGGAAACCTTTAAAATATTTTGGACCAGTAGCTTTTGATGTAGAGTTTTTTTTCTGTTGAATATACTTTTGCCCTAAAAACTAAATAAAATAGTTTTAAAAAAGAAACCTGCATATATCTTAGTAACAGTATAACAGAAGGTTTGACGCTTTTAAAACCATGTCTTTTCTAAACCATGGTAAACCGATTATTGTCCCATGCCATCAGACCACCATTCACACTAATTAAGATATTATAGGTGAAATCAGAGAGAGCTCCCTCATCCTCCATAGACTGCCATGTTCAAATTGTTCAGTTGTCCAGAAAAATACCAAAAAATTCTCAAAACAGACCATAGGCCCTCTGTGGTTTAATCTGAATATTCTGAAGCTAAGAGAAGCTACTTTTGTGGGCACATAAAACAAAAATAACTTTATTTAACAGTTTCTTATCCTCAGTGTCAGTATAGGGTGCACATTTATGAGAAAACAATATTGATTGGACAACCCTCATTTTCCGTCACAATAAATGAAAATAGTAGACATTTTCTGAGGTTATAATAATGCTACAAAATGACATTATTTTTGTTATCAATGACTTTTGCTGCTTGTTCAGACTAACTATTTAACATGAGTTGAAAGACACAAGTGTTTTTGGACAACTTAATTGTTTTATGTTAAATCTTTGTATATTTGACAAAACAATCAAGTTAACTTAATCGATTTGTGTTGGTACATCATGAAGGAACTGTGTGACCCAGCATGTTTTACAGTGAAATATTAAAATTTTACTTAACCAAATACACTTAGCTAGTAAATCAGTTTTCAAAATGTCTCTTATTTTTGCCCACACATTTTGTTTAGCACACTTATCAACATTTGACACGCTTTTATTAATGCACTGCAGTTTGCGATGCACTAATAGTCATTTTGCATACTGTTTATTTATTTCACCTATTATAATGGACAGTCAGTCTGCAAATAGCAACATGATGCAGCATCTTTTCGAAAGTAAAAGTTGCAAAGTATTATGGGAAGAAAGACGTTTGTGCATGCAATCTGCCTGGGTGTTCTGCCCTATTTATAAACTGAATTTTCAGCCTCACTGAATGCTGATGGCAGCCCATTCTTCTTTCACAGTGCCAGTGGGGTTTTGAGCGGACAGCCTGTCTGGCAAAGAACAACTTGTCATGTCTCATGTTCTTGTATGCCACACTGCTGAGTAATATCTGCAGAAATACAAACAACAGCTGTTTATTATTCTGTTAGCTAGGCTTTAGTTCACCCCAAAAATGAGAGTTCTGTCATTTACTCACCCAAATAATGATATGGTAAGACTTTTTATGTCCATAATTCATACACATTGGAAGTTGTTTGGTTCCGCATAGTAAAGTAAAGCATGCATGTTTGGAATAGCATACATTTGTGTTTTTGGGTGAACTCTCCCTTTAACGAATGCTTGAGCAACACGCATATGGGTTACAGACTTCCTGTATTGTGAAAACGATGTATTGAACTCAGTAGATTTCGTGGTCAGTTCCTGATTTACCAATTTGCTGGTATGTAGTGTGTTTTTAGCTGTGTGTAAATATGATTTCATAGAATTTTAATGATTCCTCATTAGATGTGACCCCATTATAGTGATGTGGTTTAAAGGGCACCTAGTTTGCCCCCTTTTTAAGATTTAAGATTAACATTATGGTTCTTCTGAGTGTAGGTTTAGGTTCACAGTTGGCATTTCTGTGTGGAGTTTGCATGTTCTCCCTGTGTTGGCGTCGGTGCTCCGGTTTCCCCCACAGTCCAAAGACATGTACTATACAGTAGGTGAATTGAATAAGCTAATTTGGCTGTAGTGTATGTGTGTTAATGTGAGTGTGTATGGATATTTCCTAGTACTGGGTTGCAGCTGGAAGGGTATTCGCTGTGTAAAACATATGCTGGATAAGTCGGTGGTTCATTCCGCCGTGGCGACCCCTGATTAATATAGGGACTAAGCTGAAGGAAAATTATTGAATTAATTTATTTACATTTTATTATTTAAATATTTATAAAATAAATTCCATCTAGTATTTGTTTTATTTCAGACTCATTGCAATTAACCAAATGCTTGACGTCATTTTTATTTCTATGTTATTGTTTTATCATAACAACCCTTCAAAGGTCACATATATAGTTCAGCAGAAAAGTTGACTCAGCTTAAAATTGTAAGGCAACTTGCTTTTTTGAGTTGACTCAACTTCTAACCTAAGGACTGCACTTGACTCAATTAAGTTGAGTCAACTGAAGAAAGCTCTGCAGCAATTTGCCTTAAATTTTATGTTGAGTCAACTTTTTTACAGTGCATAAATTAATAATAATAATAATTGTGACTGTAACAGAACCAAGTATTTCTAAGAGCCAGGATGTAACATGATGTTTTTCATTTTTTGATCTCTTTCAGGTTGTGTGTGGCAAAGTGTGATGATGGGAGTTAGGAGTGTGTGCTGTTTTTTACTCATCTCTCTGCTAAAGTCTTCCTCTGCTCACAGCGACTTCTTCACTTCCATTGGTATTCAAACGTTTTTATCAATCAAAGTTTGAAATGTTACTACTGACTGGTTCTAAGAGGGAACATACACTCACCGGTCACTTTATTAGGTACACCTGACTAGTATCGGGTTGGACCCACTTTTGCCTTCTGAACTGCCTTAATCCTTCGTGGCATGGATTCAACAAGGTACTGGAAATATTCATTAGAAAGTTTGGTCCATATTAACATGATAGTGTGGGAATATACATTTATATTATCTATATATAACTGAAATGTTGTTTTCAGGGTGTGACAGACCTTAAAATGTCTTGGTTTCCTGAGCCCTGACGATCTCTAAAGTAATGCAAATTATCAGTTTCACAGCACGCCTGTATCTGTTGTCTTCTCTGTCTCCAGAACATCATTTGCACTCTGTTTTAATGCTAAAATGTATCGTTAATGGGTACTTATGTGCTGATGAGATTGGGCCTGGAAAGGCATGTTACCCTGCCGACAACAACACTTCATTTGGATGCTTTGTTTGACTGTCCCCACCATGACTGTCCCCACCTACATATCAAATGTATTTAAACTGAGTGTCTGTTGTGCCAATTGAGAGTTTTGACGCCATGACGCCACAGCCACGCTGAGTTCTTCTTATTAAAAGCATTCTGTTTTGAAGAGACCGAAAATTCTCCCTGGTTTTTTGGGCTCGTCTTAGAATTTCACAACAGTTTGGTGCCGTGAGCCAGACTAGAGAAATTCCACATCCCAAAGTTTTTGTGCTAACAAAACTGACACTCACTGGATATTTTCTCTGTAAACCCTAGAGATGGTGTGCATGAAAATCCCAGTTGATCAGCAGTTTCTAAAACACTCAGACCAGGGGTCCGTTCTTCGTGGATTATTACTTGGTTAGCTGGATTTGGTTATTGACGATTTGACAAGATCCAGGATCATTTCGATCTTCAAAACTAATCCGAGAGTTGTTGTCATAACAACAGTTCTGGTAGCTCAAACCTGCTAGGGGGCAGGCTTATTTCTAAACAGGCTTAGATCGAGTCAGTTCAAGCAAAGGTAATACAGAAAGTATGTGTAGGAATGCTGATATTTTCTTATATTAGTACCTGTAGTTATATACACTTGGGAAAATAGTAAATATATATATTTTCAAACATATATATTTTATAAGTTAAAATATATATTCATAAAACTTATGAGGGATAAAAGAACAAAGACTGCCACCTGGTGGTTCAAATAGAAAATGTATTGATTTTAGAACTTTTTAGATCGCTTTAGTACAATTAGTGTATGATAATAGACATGCGCAATATGTGACTTTTTTTAAAAAAAGCAATAATACATTTATGCAGTCATGAACATGTTTTGACAGTTAATATGATGGTGATTTGATGCTTTACAAATGTTGCAGACACCTTTTACCTACATCAAAATGCTTTCAGTTGTTCTTTACACTGATCAAAAAACCGGCTACTATAATACAACTATGGCTACTATAATAAAGAAAATCCGCTCTAACTGTAAAACTAAATAAATTGTTAAATAGCCTACTCTTGACACATGAAAGCGTAAAGCATCTAGCCCACAGCAAAGGTGTAAAGTTATTGCGTATCATATTTAACAAACCCTTTACTGCTAATTTTATGTAATTTTGCTCACATGGATAATTGAATATCAATCAGATGATGTCATTACGCTGCTGTGCCGTCAGCCAATCGTTGCATTGCTGATCATGATTTCAAGGATCGATAGATCTGTCCTTCACAACACACACAGCTATCTCAGATCAGTTCATCCAGACATTTTAATCTGATTTACGATCTTGTTTGAAGAACCAAATTAGCCAGAGATCAGTCATCAAGATTAAAAGATCCAGGATCTCTCAGATCATCCAAAGAACAGACCCCAGCTTGTCTGCCACCAACAACCATGTCACGTTGAAAGTCACTTAAATCACTTCTCTTGCCCATTCTGATGCTCGGTTTGAACAGCAGCAGATCGCCTTGACCATGTCCACATGCTGATTAGAAATTTGGGTTATTGAGCAGTTATACAGGTGTACCTAATAAAATGGCCGGTGAGTGTACAGTAATCCTCTAAATCCTTGTGTTGATGATCATTTCTCACTGGTTTTACATCAGATCAGGAGAACTACACCGATTATTTACTAATCACTGATTCTCATGTTGTGTTTTTTTTTTTTTCAGGTCATATGACAGATCTGTTGTTCACAGAAAAAGACCTGGTGACATCATTGAAAGACTACATTAAAGCAGAGGAGAGCAAACTAGAGCAAGTTAAACAGTGAGTAACATTCATTGTTACGATATTAACAAGTAAAACTCATGTTTGAATTTGCAGCGATGAAGCTCTAATATTGTAAATTGTTAATAATACACATCTCCAGATCTTTTTGCTATGGTTTAGATTTCATTTGATCATAATAGTAACTGTCAAAAATTCTGACAATAGTGATATCTATGTGGTGTAACCATGTGAGTGTTTTGTTCAGATACTTTTTAGGGTAGGGCTGCACTATTCAAAAATAAAACAAAATTTTGATTTATTTGATCGAAATTGCGATTTGCGATTTAAAATGCGATTTACTATCATTTTTATAAATGTTAGATGTGGTGGTTTTAACAGCACCTAAGAAAGACCAAGCAAGCATAATCACAAAGTTTGCTACACTTTGCTAATGTTTACTTAAAACCATTTTTCCATTAAAGTTGTTATGACAAATAAAGAAAATAACTACAGTATCTTAAAATCAATTTAATAAATTATACCTTATTTATATATATATATTTTTTTTAAATAATATTTAAAATATATATTTAAAAAATGTAATAAAATTCAAAGGGGGCTAATAATTCTGACTTCAACTGTATAAATTTGTATATTCAGTAAAAAATATTGTAGCATAATTTAAATACTTAACATCATCCATTCTACATTGTATTATTGTTATTCATTTTTTGGACTTTTTTTTTGTTTGTTTTTAATACAGCCTTAGATGAGCATCTTACTTTGAATAAGCTGTATATGGTTGAGTCGGAGTCTGACGGAGTCTTTGTATTGTCAGGTGGGCAGAGAAGCTTGATGCTTTAACAGCCACAGCCGTCCAGGACCCAGAGGGCTTTTTGGGTCATCCTGTCAATGCCTTTAAACTCATGAAGAGACTAAACACAGAATGGGGTGAAGTGGAAGATCTAGTGCTCAAGGACATGTCTGATGGTTAGTATCACTGCAATCAGGGCTTGACATTAACTTTTTTGATCACCTGCCACTGTGGCTAGTAGTTTTCCAACATTACTATCCACTCGCCATTTTTAGTAGCCACAATTTTGTTGTTGGGAAAATATATTTTATACACATAAATATAACTTTGACATGCTAAAATTACTTGATTTAGATTTCATTCTTGGTCACATGGAATTCCTTTAGGGCGAAGCTATCGGTGGATGTCTTATTTCTGCTCTGAATTTGACCTTTCGTCAATTTTAAACAATCCAATTGGTTCTCAAAGAGCAAAATTATGCACAGCCTTACATTTTTGTCAAATTTCAGGACCGTTACAAGTGAATATACGTCACGATAGCGGAAAAAAGCAAATAAATTAATAAATAATAGAATTGTGGGTTAACTTTCCCTTTAGTTTGAAGCATGTATGTAGGGTTTGGATCATTTTAGTGCATATTTTATGTGAAATTATAGCTGTACCAAACTAAAAGTTAGTAAAAAAGAGCTATGTGAAGAGTTTGAAAAAGAGAACTACAGCACGTACTGAGAAATGTGTCCTACTTTACTGATCTAACAATGCTACAAGATTTTCTTCTTAAAGATATGTTTTTTCTTATAAAAAGCTAAAAACATTTTCTTTTAGGCTTTATCTCAAACCTGACCATTCAGCGCCAGTACTTCCCCAATGATGAAGACCAGAACGGTGCAGCGAAAGCCCTCCTCCGACTGCAGGACACATATAAACTGGACACACAGACCATCTCTTCTGGAGACCTGCCTGGTAAGAGTTACTATTATATTTGTTTGTCTCTTTCCCAACCATGTTTGTAACGAGGAGACTGACACGGAGGGATCCATTATGCAGCATTTATTAATCAAGCTCTCACTCAAACACACAATATGCACCAAAGTGCAAACTCACATAAACAATAGTATGAAATGTTTCAAGGCTGGCGGTAAACAGACACAGAGGGATTTACCAGGCATGGGTCAACGGCAGGCTGCGAGAATCAGAGTCCGTGAATCAGGCTTGGATCGTGGGCAGGTAGCGAGTATCAGAGTCCATATATCAGGCTTGGGTCATGGGCAGGCAGAAGGCGAAGCAGAGTCAGAAACAGGCTGGAGTTATACACGAGAGATCAGGCAGGGAATACCGCTCAGTAATGCTGGCCGGGGCTAAACAAGACTTCGCACTGACTGAGTGTTTGTGTGTGGCTTATAAAGGGTACGTGGGTCGTTAGCTAGATTCAGGACAGGTGTGTGCACAATCAGCGTAAGTGGATGATGTAATGCTAGAAGTCCGGAGATGGCGGCCTCTGCTGGGCAGCGAGGGGAGTGACTGGGACCGAGTCGGTGACAATGTTACAGACCTGCCTTCTTCTTTGCAGTTGGATCTCATGGCCAGTGTTGGGTGTAATTCGTTACTGGGTTAATTAGTTGGGTTATTTACTTAAGTCAAACCAGTTATTGTAATTAAAAAGGGATTACTTTTTTGTTAATGTAATTTAGTTATGATGTACTTCCCTTGAATATTGTGAATATCTTCAACAGTTCTGGATTTAAAAGTTCAGAGAAGCAGCGTAACAAAAAACAAATATATTTTGGAGAATATTTCTATTTTTCAGTAATTGAGAAAGGAATGACACTGTGGCTCAGTGGTTAGCACTGTCGCCTCACAGGGAGAAGGTTGCTGATTCAAATCCAGCCTGGGTCAGTTGGCATTTCTGTATAGAGTTTGCATGTTCTCCCTGTGTTGGTGTGGGTTTCCTCCGGGTGCTGCGGTTTTCCCCACAGTCCAAAGACTTGCGCCATAGCTGAATTGAACAAACTAAATTGGCCGTAGTGTGTGTATGTGGGTGTGTATTGGTGTTTCCCAGTACTGGGCTGCAACTGGAAGGTCATCCGCTGTGTAAAACATATGCTGACGGGTGTGACAACCCCTGACAAATAAAGAGACTAAGCCAAAAGAAAATGAATGAATGTATGAATGAATATTTATTGTTGTTTAAGTGTTAAATTTTTTTTTATTAAAATATCCTGGCTCAAATGTAAATATTAATTTGGCTCAAATGTAAATACTTAAAAACTTTTATTTTCAGTTGTCTATGCCTTTAGATTTATTGGGATTTTAAATAGTATCGAGTATCGTATCAAGTAATTATCGAGTAATACTATCGTATCGAGTAATAGTATCGTATCGAGTAATAGTATCGTATCGAGTAATAGTATTAAGTAATTATTGAGCATTTCAGTTACTTTTCAGACAGAGTAAATAAAAAAGTAATTTCAATAAAACTTGAATGATGTAATCAGTAATCATAGATATTTACATTAGATGTTGTCTACGCTGTGGTTGTCTATTGGAAGTTATGTGTCAATGGAGCTGCTATTTTAGTACAGGATATCACTCCTATAAAATGAATGTGGGACCAAGGTGAATTGGAGGACTGGCCATCCAGAACCAGAGATATATATACACATATATACATACAGTATATCTATGATGGGGAGTTTTCCCAGTGGTCAGTTTGCAAATATTTTTTAAATTATACAAATTATAATTTTATAACAATGTTCTACATCGATGGATGAGCGACCGCACGGGCATTCCTGACAAAGAGCATGTGTTTATGTGCATGGAAATGTATCATTTTTCCTCCCTGTTACATTTGATCTAATCTGTGTCCTGAAACACACCCCCTCTCCTTCTTTTAATTCTAATTCTAATGGAGGGAGCGACTCCTCGTTATGAACAATTCGTGTAAACTTTCGATATCCCTGCATCTTAATATGCATATTCACCTTTCTGATCTAAATGGTATATAACATTTATAATATTCAATAAATTAGGGTGGACAATCACAGTATGCTCATGATCAGTGCAGTAAGTTACTGTAGTATCATCAATAACTTTACTTGTTAATCACAAAAGTTCGTAACATATAAAAACGTTAAAAAAACAATATCTTACCTATGAAATGTTCTGCCTTTATGCTTTGCTTTGTTTGTTTGCTCGTTACTACACCCGTTTGCACCTGTTTCAACTAGTGCGATTGAATATGCGACATCCAGTGTATACATCTATCAGTAATTAATGACTTTTAAGTAACTTACTTTTTTTTTGCAGGTGTTAATACAGGTCTGCCATATAAAAGCACCCTGACGGTAGAGGACTGTTTTGAACTAGGAAAAATTGCCTACTCTGACGCAGACTACTATCACACGGAGCTGTGGATGGCCCAGGCGCTCAAGCAGCTGGATGAAGGAGAAGAATCCAGCGTTGAGATTGCCACCGCTCTGGATTACCTCAGTTACTCTGTCTACCAACAGGGGGAGCTGGAGAGAGCTCTGGAATATACTAAGAGACTGCTTACTGTGGGTAAGTCTGCTCTATTTAAAGGGTCATGAAACCCCCCTGTTTCAGCAGGGTATTTTCACATCTCTACTTTGGAAAAAGTCAGGACATGCCCACCTCTGTTTAGGGGGGAGTTTTGGAGGAGCAAAAAAGGGGGAAGGTCTGTAAAAATTTGCATAAAAATGGGAGTGTCGGTTTCGGCACGCGCTGATTTTCACAGAGGCAAAACAAACACACACACATGGGAGAAAGACAGTGATTGTGTTTACATGGACATCTGTAGTCTAATTATTTGACAAATTATTAAATGGTGGACTTTAACTGCAGTTTGGCACTTTCATTCAGAAATTTCATTCATGCCTCTCGTGACAAACAAGATATTTGATACGAGGAACTGCTCTAAGTGTTTATTTTCCGTGCAATGTTTGTTACTGCAAGGCAAATGAGAGAAAAAACTCTGCATTTCTCGAAAACTTAGATACACTCAATAGGTAGCATCAGAAAGCCATCTGAGTGATTCCTGTCACAAAATGCGGCGAAAATCCTCCACGACGAAAATAGTTTGATTGTGGTATTAACATGTTTACACTTGGAGAGCAGCATTTACAGTGGATCTTTCAGTCCAAAACATTGTAGGTATGTTAACGTACGGTAAACTTTAGTAACTTAGAAATCATTTGACTAAGGTCCGTCTTTAAACACTGAAAGAGTACTGCTGACATACAAACTAACTTTGCCATCTGAATAAACAAACAAAGGCCACTGATCACACACTTACCAAATCTGTAGAGACAGGACAATCAACACAAACTAGAGCCGCATCTTTATTAAGAGGAGACGAGCAGCAAATCCGGATCTCACCATTTCCAGATGAGAAAAGCTCTCGGGTAAAAAATGTTCCTTATAAACGTATTACTGTCGAGCGTCGTGTGCACTGTAATCTACACGTGAGTCCAGCTGCGTTCTCATAGAGAGAAAATGAAAACAAAACCTTCACTGCAGCAAATTATAAAAGCAACACTGACTGCTTGCTTTGGCAACATAACGTGTCATCTCTCTGCCGTCTGAACACTGTAACAGGTAAAAACAGTCTTGGAAGCTATCACGCATATTAATGAAGTTGCACCGCATACACAATAGAGCGCGCTGATTGGTTTGAACCAAGTCTTTCTCATGAATGAATGCAACGCACTCAGTGACGTAATAAGGCACTCCTAGGTACAGACGTCCAGTCTGCACGCTGGAATACACGCTAAGATCTCATGGCCGTGACGCAGCTTCAAAAATTCGTTTCAAACCGGAAGTACAAATTTGCTTGAAATAACGCAAAAACAACCAATTTTCACTTTTTAGTAAAATATATGTGTCCTAATAGTGTTTTTAGCAGTGTGGGACACATATACCACTGTCAACAGTTTAAAAAATAAAATGTGTTTTGGTGTTTCGTGACCCTTTAAGATTGTGGCTGATGTCCACATTAATACAGATACATTTATACAGGGGCTTACACAAAGAAATTGGTCCATGGAAGAGGTTAAAGAGATGAAAAATGATAATTCTGTCATCATTTACTACCCTTGTTTTCAAACCTTTATAATTTCTTTCTTATTTTGAACACAAAATAAGATATTTTGAAGAAAGCTGGAAACCTGTAATCACTGACTTCTATAGTAGGAAAAACAGTTACTATGGGAGTCAATGGTTACAGGCCTTCAGCATTTATGCATGCATAAATTTTCCTTCGGCTTAGTCCCTTCATTAATTAGGGGTCGCCACAGTGGAATTAACTGCCAATTTATTCAGCATATGTTTTGAAAAGCAGATGCCCTTTCAGCAAAAACCCAGGACTGGAAAACACCCATACACACTCATTCACACTCCTACACTACGGACAATTTAGCTCACCCAATTCACCTATACCACATGTCTTTAAACTGTGGAGGAAACCGAAGCAACTGGAGGAAACCCACGCAAACACAGAGAGAACATGCAAACTCCACACACAGAAATGCCAACTGACCCAGCTGAGGCTCGAACCAGTAACCTTCTTGCTGTGAGGTGACAGCGCTAACCACTGCGCCACCCTTACATAAATATATAAATTAGCAAATTAACAATAATAATACAGGTGGCGCAGAAGGTAGTGCTGTTGCCTCACAGCAAGAAGGTCGCTGGTTCGAGCCTCAGCTGGGTCAGTTGGCGTTTCTGTGTGGAGTCTGCATATTCTCCCTGCAGTCGCGTGGGTTTCCTCTAGGTGCTACATTTTCCCCCACAGTCCAAAGACATGCGCTACAGGTGAATCGGGTAGGCTAAATTGTCCGTAGTGTATGAGTGTGTGTGTGAATGAGTGTGTGTGGATGTTTCCCAGAGATGGATTGCGGCTGAAAGGGCACTTGCTGCGTTAAAACATGCTGGATAAGTTGGCGGTTCATTCCACTTTGGTGAATGCGGCACAGGTGAATTTGGTAGGCTAAATTGTCCGTAGTGTATGAGTGTGTGTGCGTGAATGAGTGTGTGGATATTTCCCAGAGATGGGTTGCAGCTGGAAGAGCATTCGATGCGAAAAACTAGGAATGGAAATGCGCAACAGTTCTGCTCGCTCTACGCCAATAACGGATGTTACTGCATTGTTCATCTGCAAAGATATTCAGCCTGGTGTCACGGAGAACGAAGGTTTTAAACACCTCCTCCTGTTAATTTTTATTTAATTATATTTTTATTAGCCTGTTGTTTACAGTGACAGTGATGTTTCAAAGCAGCATAACACTGCTAGTTCACCACCTTAAGTTTTGAATATTCAGTGGCAAAATATCTTTGTAAAACTTGTTTTCATAGTTGAAAAGTTATATCACAATTCTTGTTGTGCAATGGTAAACCTTTATGTTGAAATAGTGCAAATATATATATATATATTTAATATATATTGCACTTATACATTCTGTTTATCTTGAAAATACTTAAATAATATGTGCTATATGTTCTAAAATGGCCCTCTACTGTAAACTGACACTCTGGCTCTGAGAGAAGAGCCAGTTTGTAAAAAAAAGTCTTGGTTTTGCTTGGTTAATAAATAATCAAACTCATTCAATAGCACAGCATCCTCTTTCACATAATCTCATAAACTTGATCTAATTAGTTAGTGCTGAATTATCGCATTGTATCAGGATATGGGTGTAAATCGTATTGTGTTGCATCGCAATATGTCACAAATGTATCGCTAATATATCGGATCGTATTCTTTGTATCGAGATGTGTATCGGATCGGCATTATAGCTTAGATGCCCAACCCTAGTAAAAACATGCTGGATAAGTTGGCGGTTCAGTCTGCTGTGGCGACCCCGGATTAACAGGCTAAATTGTCCGTAGTATATGAGTGTGTGTGCGTGAATGAGTGTGTGTGGATATTTCCCAGAGATGGGTTGCAGCTGGAAGAGCATTCGATGCGAAAAACTAGGAATGGAAAGATTAACCGATATGTATCGATATGCGGTCATGCGCGTGAACGATGCGAGTGCATCGGTAGAGCAGCAGAGAATGAATGAAATTTTGGAAGCAAATCGAGATGCATCGGTTTTTGCGAGATGCATCGGTTTTTCCAAGATACAACTTCTATTTTTAATGTAAAATGTATTTTTTATTTATTAACAAGTGTTGTCAACCTGTTTTTAGCGCATAATTTAATCAACCTACATAAAGTATGCCTTAGCAACGGATTTGCGGATGTATACAACTCAGTGTATCAGGTGTGCGGATGAAGCTAGTGGTGCGCCCTCAGAAAGCGCGAGAAGCAAAACAAACATTTTATTCCCCACTGAGTTTTAAATCTAAAGTATGGCAACATTATGGATTTAAGGATGGACGACATGACAGGACAGATGCAATTTGCAAAATGTGCCACGCATCTGTAAAATACACGGGCAGTACGACTAATCTGAAATCTCACTTGAAGCGGCGCCACGGTGTTGTTGTGGAAGCATCTTCCAGTGTTCCTGCATCCCCGCCGTCCTGCTCTGCTTCAACTGTAGCTACCAGCTCCAAAAGTGGTGAGAAAAGCATTGCAAGTTTTTCTCCATGCGCAACAGTTCTGCTCGCTCTACGCCAATAACGGATGTTACTGCATTGTTCATCTGCAAAGATATTCAGCCTGGTGTCACGGAGAACGAAGGTTTTAAACACCTCCTCCTGTTAATTTGTATTTAATTATATTTTTATTAGCCTGTTGTTTACAGTGACAGTGATGTTTCAAAGCAGCATAACACTGCTAGTTCACCACCTTAAGTTTTGAATATTCAGTGGCAAAATATCTTTGTAAAACTTGTTTTCATAGTTGAAAAGTTAAATCACAATTCTTGTTGTGCAATGGTAAACCTTTATGTTGAAATAGTGCAAATATATATATATTTTTAATATATATTGCACTTATACATTCTGTTTATCTTAAATACTTAAATAATATGTGCTATATGTTCTAAAATGGCCCTCTACTGTAAACTGACACTCTGGCTCTGAGAGAAGAGCCAGTTTGTAAAAAAAAGTCTTGGTTTTGCTTGGTTAATAAATAATCAAACTCATTCAATGGCACAGCATCCTCTTTCACATAATCTCATAAACTTGATCTAATAAGTTAGTGCTGCATTATCGCATTGTATCGTGATATGGGTGTAAATCGTATCGTGTTGCATCGCAATATGTCACAAATGTATCGCTAATATATCGGATCGTATTCTTTGTATCGAGATGCGTATCGGATCGGCAATATAGCTTAGATGCCCAACCCTAGTAAAAACATGCTGGATAAGTTGGCGGTTCATTCTGCTGTGGCGACCTCGGATTAAGGGACTAAGCTGAAAAAAAAAATAAATGAATGAATGAATGAACAACATTAATAATAATAATAATAATAATAATAGCAAAAGAGCTCCTTTTGAAAGGAACCCTTGGCTTTGCCGTAGCCCCAGGGCCCAATATGTCCTTAATCTTGCCCTGACAATGCACACAATCACATTACTCTGAAAAAATTAATGAATGCCTATTTTAGAACCAACAGTAGTCCTAATTGAACCAAAGGTTTTGAAATATTTATCTCTGCTGTTTAGAGCCGGAGCACCAGCGAGCTCTTGGGAACCTCAAATATTTTGACTACCAGCTGGCCAAACAGAAGAAGGCAGAGAAGGAGCAGAGCACCAAGGAAGAGAGCAAGAAGGAGCAAGAAACGTCAGATGGGAAGAAGGAATATCTCCCGGAGAAGAGGAAATATGAGAAGCTGTGTAGAGGAGAAGGACTCAAAATGGTGAATAACTGAATGTTGTAACTGAAATGTCAACCATATGTAATATTATGTCAGTGCAGATGTATGAATCTACAATTACTCTTTTTTTTTAGCTCAATCTTTTCTTATATATTTATGAAGTAGTGTTGATCGCATATTAAAAGAAAACTCAGCTTTTTTTGGAAATGGCCTAATTTTACTACTCACCTTAAGTTAAACCTCTGCATTTTATAATTTTTTAATCTATTCAGACAATCTTCGTGTCTGGCAGGAGCACTTTTAGCTTAGCGTAAATAATTGAATCTGATTAGCATCCCACTCTAAAATGAACAAAGAGTTTTGGTAATTACTTAATTAAAACTTGACTCTTTTTGTAGTTACATTATGTACTAAGACTGACAAAAAAAAAAAGTTGAAACTGCTGCAGCTTTGGTACAGCAGCAAAGTTCCTTGATTATTACGCCAGAATAATCTAGCCCTATCGACCTAGAAAATAAAATATTGTTTCCGCCTGTCTTACATAATGAAATTACAGAAGAATCAAGCTTTAAATGGGAAAATTATCAAAACTCTTTTTTTTTTTTATTTCTTGAGAGAGATGCTTATAGTCTAATCCGATTTAATGATTTATGCTAAGCTAAGCTATAAGTGCTCTCGCCAGACCCAGAGATCAACTGAATGGATTTAAAAATGCTAAAACTCAACTGTTTAACTGTTGGAAAAATGAGTTACGATTGTTAAACAGGAATTGAAGAGTTCAGATGCAGAAGCCGCTAAATGCCACTTCCACCAAAAATTATATATGAATGCTTTAGGCACGTACTAGATGTTAAACAAATAGTTTTGCTTCAAATCAACTGAATCGCAACGTCAGAGCGTTCAGAAATAACAATTTTTTTGCAAAGCCCGCTAAACGCCACTTGCCTTTGAGAGCAAAAGCCGATATATCCCGAGAACCAATCAGAAGGCGCTAATCGAATCGTATGTTTTTAAGGTAGCGGTGTGCTGAAACACCGGCTTTTATGAGGGGACTGTTCCGCTTCCGCTTTAGATTTTAAATGATGAAGTTCGATAAGCTGGATGAGCCTGTCCGACTGTCAGTGAATGGCAAATGAAAATGTCCCGTACCTCAAAACTCTGCATTATAAGAAAAAGAAAACACACTGTACAGTCGGAAGTATAACATGCATTCTTAACGTGCTTTTGCGCAGTGACGCTACTTTGAATGAGTCCAATTTACTTTACAGTAAACGGCTACTGTGTTTCATGAAGATAAAGTTAAGATGCCTTTCTTTGATCCCACATGTATGCTTTAAGGATAAACAAGAGACGAAACAGAGATCAAGACCTTGGCTGCGTCTAAAACCTCCTACTACTCAGTAGGTACTGCATTTAAATTTAAACGTGCTACTCGGCAGTTAGAAAAGTACGTTCTATACAGTATGAATGTGAGAAGTATTAATGGAATTCGGACGTACTACATCCGCCATTTTGTCATGGTCACGTCAATTGCATCGCTTCAGTCCCATTCATGAATTCTCTCGCGAGGAAACATGGGATAGCGCCGCGTGCATAGAATGTGCACCTCAGAATCTTGCTGGAAGTAGTAAGTTATCTGGGTATTTCTCGCATACTGATTTTCAAATTTTATGAATTCGGACATACTACTCGACTCGCATACTGATTTTAGTGTACTGTATAGTATGGAAGTATGCGGTTTCGGACGCAGCCCTTGAGTATGGTGAGAATTAATTAATTGAATGACAGCTTCTAAAATTGTCTGAGAGGCATCCTCTTTTGCCCAGTAGGCCTACCTTGTGTTTTATTTGCTAATGTAAGCTATTTTGTAAAATATAAACATAATGGATAAAACGATGCATTATTTATATTACTTACATTTATATTACTTTTATATTACTACACCACATACATACATTACTAAATTAATGGACAATCCACAGATATTTATGTTTCACAATGTTTTACACAACATTGTTTGATTCTAACAAACTTAGTTTACAATGTTTACGTTGCTCCACTTACATTAAATCTAAATCCCAAATATCAGAAATGACAACAGATAGTTAGGATTTAATTAATGTCAATTTTAATGTCATTGATTAACGCACTTGACGGATTTCATTCATTCATTTTTCTTCTGCTTTTTTCCTGGTTTATCACGGCGGAATGAACCACCGCTTACTTGAAAGATTTATGTATTTTTAATTTTAGGTGGTTTGTGTTATGTGTTTTATATTTAGTAAAATAAATCGCCTCTTTAGTGATTTTTCATCTAATTAGACTGTCTTGTCCCAATAGGTGGATTTAGAGGTTTTTGCAAAAAAAATGGATTTAGCTGGTTTTGATGCAAAAGAAAATTTACCTTGTTTACTAGCTAATAACCTTAACATTACCTATAAAATGAAACTTTTTAACCTAAACAGAGGAGCCTGATAGAAAATGCTCATTTACTAGAAAAGTCTGATGGATTTAGAGGGTTTTGCATTTAAACTCTTCAAATGTTTATGCACAACCTCAGTAAAAAATGTAGCCATAACTGTAACGACTGGGGGGAGTGACACTCACAACAGAAGGTAAGATCCAATATGCAGGTTTATTCAATGTCAGGCAAGCAGTGGTCATCAGGTGCAAACGGGTATAGACAGTCCAGAATCATAAACGATAAACAGGCAAAAGGTTGAAAGGCAGGCGGCTAAACTAGAGAACAAGGGTGACAAGGCTAAGGTCTAACACGGAGAAAACAAGACAGGGAACCGCGTTGTAATGTCACAAAGATGCAAACAAGACAAACTGGAAGCGTGAATGAGTGGCTTATGAATGGAGTGATATCAGTCTGTGACAAGTTTCAGCTGGTAATTGCAATCAGGATAGATGAATGAACAGACGTGTGTGTTTGGGAGCAGTGCATGTATGAAAATGTAGTCCTGGGAAATGCGGAAATGTAGTTTTGAGAGTTCGTGTGATAACCAGCGATCTCTGGAAAGCGATTGCTGGTTGTGTGACAATAACACATAATATGTATTTTTGTCTTTTGTAAGAACAATGTAAATAAAATTCAAAAACACGTATTACCTCACCCTTACAGACTCCTCGGAGACAGAAGCATTTGTTCTGCCGTTACTTCAATGGTAACAGACATCCATTTTACACAATTGGGCCAGTGAAACAAGAAGACGAATGGGACCGTCCCCGAATCATCCGTTATCATGAGATAATAACAGAACAAGAAATAGAGAAAATCAAGGAGCTCTCCAAACCAAGGGTGAGTTTAACTTTTACACACATTAACATGTTTATTATTATGTTTATTATTACACTCTATATGGCCAGTTGTGTAAAGAAAGGAATTATAAATACCCAAGTTACCCTTACTGAGTTGGTTTTCTCAGCAGTTTTACTTTATTAAGTAGTTAAAAATGCGTTCTTTTACTTATGAACATTTTTAGTGTTGTGTCTGTACTCGTACTGCACTATTTCCCTGCAATGACTACTTTTTAATGATTATTTTGGTGTTGATGGTGAGCTATCCATAATTGTTCTCTGGTGTTTTTATTGCATTTAACACTCCATTTTCATTGGGCAAAATGCTGGAGTATTGTGGATGCAAGGCATAACCATTTAAATAATACCTGAGGCTTTTTCCACACCTAAACAAAGATCAATGCACATACATGGAGCACCTCAAATATGGTAAAAGGAAAAGCTCAAAGTGCTTGTTTAATATGCAAGAACCAATGAGGCTTGTTCCTGTGTGTTATTAAACTACAGCTTCAAAAATATGGACGTGGTTCATGTGTCCACATGCTTTTTGGCTATGTAGTGTGTACATAGTGTACTGTGGCACAATGCTGCACATTTATATAAGTCACTGTTATACTGAGATCACATGACAATCCGAGAGAACGTACTTTATCTATAAACTCCCTGTTATCAGTTAAATTAATTATAATATGTTTGTGGATAGAGTCATTTTTTAAAAATGATGCTGTCAAAACCATAACATTTGCTTTTGTGTCATTCTTAATCTAGTTACAGTTGAAGTCAGAATTATTAGCCCCCTTTTTAATTATTATTATTTTTTATATTTCCCAAATCATGTTTAACAGGGCAAAGGCATTTTCACAGTATGTCCGATAATATTTTTTCTTCTGGAGAAAGTCTGATTTGTTTTTATTTCGGCTAGAATAAAAGCAGTTATTAATTTTTTAAAGACTATTTTAAGGACAAAATGATTAGCACCTTTAAGCTATATTTTTTTCGATAGTCTACAGAACAAACCATTGTTATACAATAACTTGCCTAATTACCCTAACCTGCCTAGTTAACCTAATTAACATAGTTAAGCCTTTAAATGTCACTTCAAGCTGTATAGAAGTGTCTTGAAAAATATCTACTAAAATATTATTTACTGTCATTATGGCACAGACAAAATAAATCAGTTATTAGAAATGAGTTATTAAATCTATTATGTTTAGAAATGTGTTGAAGAAATCTCTCCGTTAAACAGAAATTAGGGAAAAAATAAATGGGGTCTAATTATTCACGCGGGCTAATAATACTGACTTCAGCTGTACTAAGTGTCAGTATAACGTTAAAGGCAGATGTTACTCACAGCATCTATGAATTCAATCTGGTCTAAAGTGTACATAAAAATATGTGACCAATCTTATGTTGAATTGAATCTTGCAATGCCAAACAATACATTGAAAATTAAAAAAAAAAAAAAAAAAAAAAAAAAAAAATATATATATATATATATATATATATATATATATATATTAAGTAAAAGTCATGTTCTATGAAGAAATTTAGTTAATTTCCTACTGCAAAAATATTGAAACTTTTTTAGATTAGCTATGTGCATAGGAATTTAATTTGGGCAGGTTTAAAGTTCCTGTGAAGAGCTTTAAATTATGCATTTTTATTTAATGTTTGACATAATCACACTATGAGAGGGTTGGGCATAGTGTAGCCCCTCCCCTTTTTTAAACAACAACCAATAGTGTTGTTTTTTTAGTAAGAGTTGTTGAGCTTAAGTGCAACAAAAAAACAAAAACAAATGAGAAGCATCTTGAAATTGGGCAGAGCATGTTAGAAACTAGAGTACATTTAGTACAAAAAATAGTACATATCCAAGGGCTGTTGCGATAATAAATGAACATTAAATTGAGGATGTTTCTGGCCAAAATCTTTTTAATCTTACTTGCTTTTTAACTTGCTGCTAGGAAATGCACTTGCCACTTTATATGCTAAATTGAATGCCTTTCTGGCCCACATTTTATTCACTTTTAAATTTAAAAAGCTGCTGGAGAATGCCACCTTATAAGCACATCATAAGCACTTTTAGTAGTGTATTGTTACTCCTTTTATAATTAATTATTGTTGCCATTTTTTCTTTTTATCTCTTGTTATTGTTGTTGTTTTGGATTAATAGGACTGCACTGAAAGGAAAGCCCAAACGTAAATTTCGTTGTATTTTGTACAATGAAAATAAAGATTCTGATTCTGAGAGCATTTGATTGGTTATGATTTGATGAGAAACTGAAGTATGAGTTAACATGAATAAAATCGTTTGGCTAGAAGTGACAAACTACAAGCTTTACATGTTTATATAAGTTTCATATTTTCTAAATGCAAATTCTGTCACTTTTTTGGCGCACACTAGCTTATAGATGTCCTAAAAACGAGTGATATTGATACCAACAGGGTTTCCAATGTCACTTAAAAGTATTTGAATTTCAGAGACCATTGGATTCAACACCTGGAAAGTACTTAAAAACAAAAACAGGTCTCTGAAAATGCTTGATTTAAATAGAAATTTCAATTTGTTCCTGGTTTTATTTTAACAGTTGTACTCAGTTGACAAAAACAGAACGAAAAAAACTGAGAAATTCTTAAATTATAAATCTTTAATTTAAATATTTTACAACAACACAGACAAATGATGCACATTTTATCAGCATTTCAGAAACCGCAAGTGAATATGACCACTATTGAATTTAGCATGTTTTATGCAAGCTTTTTTGAACATGACATTTAAAAATTTTTTTTTTTTTTTGGAAATGACTCTCTCTAATATGTTTTAATGTAAATGTTAAGTGTAATTGAAATGTTAAGTACAGGAAGGACTTTCATGATGCTATACATACAGTTGAATTCAGAATTATTAACCCCCTCTTTGTATTTGTTTTTCTTTTTTAAATATTTCCCAATTGATGTTAAACAGAGTAAGGACATTGTCACAGTATGTCTGATAATATTTATTCTTCTGGAGAAAGTCTTATTTGTTTTATTTCGACTAGAATAAAAGCAGTTTTTAATTTGTTTTAAAAAACATTTTAAGGTCAAAATTATTAGCCCCTTTAAGCTATATTTTTTCAATAGTCTACAGAACAAACCATCGTTATACAATGACTTGCCTAATAACCCTAACCTGCTCAGTAAACCTAATCAGTTATTAGAAATGAGTTATTAAAACTATTATGTTTAGAAATGTGTTGAAAAAAATCTGCTCGCTGTTAAACAGAAATTAGGGGAAAAAATAAACAAGGGGCTAATAATGCAGGGGGCTAATAATTCTGGTTTCAACTGTATATATACAGTTGAAGTCAGATTTATTAGCCCCCCTGAATTGTTATCACCCCTGTTTATTTTTTCCCGTTTTCTGTTTAACAGAGAGCAGATTACAGGTTACACTAACTTGCATAGTTAAGTTAATTAACCTAGTTAAGCCTTTAAATGTCACTTTAAGCTGTATAGAAGTGTCTTGAAAAATATCTAGTCAAATATTATTTACTGTCATCATGGCAAAGATAAAATAAGTTATTAAAACTATTATGTTTAGAAATGTGTTGAAAAAAATCTTCTCTCTGTCAAACAGAAATTGGGGGAAAAAATTAAACAGGGTGGCTAATAATTCAGGGGGTTTGATAATTCTAACTTCAACTGTATGCTGGGGAATGAATTACAAGGTGTTTGATTTAAAATGAATGGTGCTTTAAAAGGTCATTGAAAGTCCTTGAATCTGCTGTTCACGAAAGCGTGGGAACCCTGATTTAAACTTTATTTTAATTTCATTTCTGATAATCAATTACTGATATTCTCAGTATTTATATATATTTTTTGAACCCTCAGATTCCAGATTTTCAAATAGCTACATTTTGTGCAAATATTAGTCTACACTAATGAGCCGAACACTTATTTATTCAGCTTTCAGAAATTGTATTAATCTCAATGTCAAAAAATTAAAACTTAATGTTTTTGTGGTCCAGGCAGAGTCACATATGGGTTCAGATATCTTCACTTCTTTATATTAGATTATTGTAGAACATAATTTTATTATGTAATCAATATAATTTTTGTAGTTATCAGTGTTTTATTAGGGGCAAAGCAGTGGCACAGTAGGTAGTGCTGTCACCTCACAGCAAGAAGGTCGCTGGGTCACTGGTTCAAGCCTCGGCTCAGTTGGCGTTTCTGTGTGGAGTTTGCATGGTCTCCCTGAGTTTGCGTGGGTTTCCTCCGGGTGCTCCGATTTCCACCATAGTCCAAAGACATGCGGTACAGATGAATTGGCTAGACTAAATTGTCCTTAGTGTATGAGTGTGTGTGGATGTTTCCTAGAGATGGGTTGCGGCTGGAAGGGCATCCGCTGTGTAAAAACTTGCTGGATAAGTTGGCGATTCATTCCACTGTGGCGGCCCTGGATTAATAAAGGGACTAAGCCAACAAGAAAATTAATGAATTAATGAATTAATGTTTTATTAGTAGTAGTTTGTTAGTTTTAAGGATACCTATAAGCTAGTGTTCTCAAAAACAAAGACAAAATTTGCATTTAGAAGATATAAACAGCCAAAGCTTATAGTTTTTCACCTCCGCCCTAATGGATGAATGATTTGTTTGACATCACCTCATACATAGTTTCGTATCAAATCTTCTGACCAATCAAATGCTCTCTAGTATCTGACATACCTTTAAGACGCTTCTCATTTGCTTTTCATTTGATGGGCTTGAGCTCAACCACTCTCACTGGCAGAGCTGTGATAAAAACAAAATGCTATTGGCTGTTTTTTTTTATTAGGAGGAGGGGCTACTTTATGTTCCGCATTTTCTTCATGTCTCAGTAGAGATTTCGTCAAAATGCAAATAAATTTTTTTTTGACTTCAATTAGAGCCTCTGATATTTGGAGTATTGACTAACTTCCCTCAGCCTCTGACCTGTCATTATTCAGGATTATTAGTCCTCATGTAATTAGGACACCCTAGCAAACAGAAAAAGTGTGTTGGTCAGTGGTCACTGCTGTGTAACTTGTGTACTCTTGGCCGGTTGGCTCAACAGCTGCGCCGAGCCACCATCTCCAACCCCATTACTGGTGTCCTAGAGACTGCACACTATCGCATCAGTAAAAGGTAAGGCTCCTGTAGGCCTGTAGCTCTGCTAACCAATCCACCGGTTCTTCCTACTGCATGCTGGGAAAGCAGCTTTAACAAGAGCCCAGACAAAACAGAGCACACGTATATACAGGAATGGTCAAGTGTTATATGTTCACCAAGACTGCATTTGTTTAATGGAAAATACGTTAAAAGTAATATTGTGACGTTTTTTAATAAAAAAAAATAATAATAAAATTTTTTTATATATATTTAAAATATATATATTGTTTTCTGTTTAAATATATACACTACCTGACAAAAGACTTGTCGCCTATCCAGGTTTTAGGAACAGAAGTGGCTTATATGAAAAGTAAAGTCTAGATTACACTTATTTTATCAAAATAAAATGATTATGACTTGATTTTGAATGATTTAATTAGTACAGTAAGCTCTGACTTTGCTTAAACAGAAGTCTTGTCACTTAACAGAAATAATGTACAGTATAGAATATAAAGTTGTGGAGCAGTGGAAAAAGAATGAATATTGTGTATGACTCTCATGAGCTTGGAGAACTGCATACAAACATCTCGGCAATGACTCAAATCACTTATTGTTAGTCAACTGGAATAGCAAAGAAAGCGTTCTTGCAGGACTCCTAGAGTTCATCAAGATTCTTTTGATTCATCTTCAATGCCCCCTCCTTTATCTCACCCCAGACATGCTCAATAATGTTCATGTCTGGTGACTGGCTTGGCCAATCCTGAAGCACCTTGACCTTCTTCAGGAACTTTGATGTGGAGGTTAAAGTATGAGAAGGAGCGCTATCCTGCTGAAGAATGTGCCCTCTCCTGTGGTTTGTAATGTAATGGGCAGCACAAATGTCTTGATACCTCAGGCTGTTGCCATCCACTTTGCAGATCTCTTGCACGCCCCTATACTTAATGTAACCCCAAACCATGATTTTTCCTTCACCAAACTTGACTGATTTCTGTGAGAATCTTGGGTCCATTCAGGTTCTAGTAGGTCTTTTGCAGTATTTGTGATGATTGGGATGCAGTTCAACAGATGATTCATCTGAAAAAATCTACCTTCTGCCACTTTCCAAATGATCAACTAGAAGTCAAGTTAATTTTGTTGCTCTTACTGCGATCAAAGACAAGACTTTTGTCAGGTAGTGTACATAAAAAAAATATCATATATGTGATGCAAAGCTGAAACATTACTCTAGTTGTCAGAGCCACATAATCCTTTAGATATTATTCTAATATGCTGATCTGAAAACAGTTTTTGCTGTTTAATATGTGAAACCAGAATAAATTTATTTAAGATTCTTTCAATAGTAAGGTCAAACGAATGAACATCTCAATCAGCCACTTTTGAGTCCTTGATGAATAAAATTTCTAACTCGTTTTGAACAGTAGTGTATACAAATATTAAGAGGCAAACACAGTTTAAGCATAGATAATAATAATTTGCTTACTGAGAATCAAACGAGCATATTACTATGATTCATGAGGGATCATGTGGAAAATTCTTGTTTGCTTGCACAAGAGTAAACTAACTTTAAAATATATTCAAATAGGAAAACTTCAGATCAGAACAGTGTTTTATAGTATCACTCTTTTTACTGTATTTCTAATCAAATAAATGCAGCCTTGGTGAGAACAAAAATAATTTCTCTAGCATCAAATCATTGTACTGGCCAACAATTTTGCCTAATTTTAACAATGAATAATAAATATTCAGTAACAGATAAAAATATATCCGTTTGTCCCGTTCTTGCGAATGCTGCTTTCCCAGTGTTTCTTTACACACAAGAGATACATAAACACAGTTTGACCCAGGCCATGAAGAAATAAAAACCACCCATGCAGTCCAAGTGCACAGTTGGTGGAGTTCAGCTGAAGTTGGTATCAAGTCCAGAGCTTACAGTAACATCACTTTCACATCTCTTTTTCTATTTCCTCTGTTTGTTTGTTTTTTGCCGGCTCTATAGCTCAGGCGCGCCACCGTTCATGACCCTCAAACTGGCAAACTCACCACCGCCCAGTACAGAGTCTCCAAGAGGTAAGGGGTCAGAGATCAAGGGCAGAGGCCACATCTGTTCCCCCTTCTCCATTTTTACCTAGAATCATATTTATGCACCTCAGTTATCATTTCATCTGTTAAACAATGTGATAGAATTTTGCTCCCCTTATCATGTCATAATGTCATGTTTAGGATGTAAACAATCCAAACACAGTCATAGTTTAATAAAAACAACAACAACTAAATTAAATTCTGTCTAATACTACAAAATATTGAATGCTTGATTCTGATTGGCTGATGAACATTCCAAGGGGCCAATCACTCAGCGTTATTCCTTTCCAATGCTCTACTTTTCTATTGTTTTTGTAAATATGCACTTGATGGATGTTTGTGAGTGTCTTTTGGAGCGTCGAGCAGAATTTTTTTAGACACCGCAACTTTTACATGCAGTGCTGCGTCATCACTGTTAGTTCCAAAGCAGTAGACCAATCAGATGAATTCGAAAGTCCGACAATTGTTGCAAGGTTCTGTTTACAGACAAACCGACACTTTATGCTGTGCTTTTTTTAACTATTTCGGAGCGTTGCGTTTTACATTTTAAGATGCAAAGACATGTTCGGTGTGAATGAACCCTAAGGCTTGCAGTTATTTTCAAATAAACACATGACTAAAGTAGTTCCAGTCAGGTCTTGAACAAATTGCAGTTTCATATCACTACACCAAATGAGTTTGGTTATTTTACAGCCTACAACTAAACAAAGCAAAACAAAACAAATGGCTTTGGTGAAAATACACCACGTCCCAAGGTGTCTCTACATGGTTATGTATAGGGTACTAAGTAATGTAAACTCTTACCAAATGGTGCCACCGGTGTGCATCCCCTTAGAAAACTGTTTACAATTCTAAAAGGCTGTACATGGCACAGAATGATGTATCTGGTGTGGTGTGCAACCTCCTTGAGACACCAGTTTGAAGACAAAAACCTGACAAATTTCTTAAAATACAGCAGTGTCTTTTAGTGTAACCATATCTTTAACCATGGTATAAGTGGAATAATTGACTCCGGTCCATTGAATTATTAGAAAATTATCCACACTTCACATTGTGACCGCATCACCACCTAATTCAACCGTTATTCTTTACATAATTTACTTGCCCTCAAACTGTTACAAACTTGGAATAATGATTAATATACACAATTCATATACAAAAACAACTGCATACATGAAAGCAAGTAAACAGGCGAAACTAATGAATATATTACACTTATGCTATATATAAGCGCAATGACAATTCTATTTTTCTACCCCTATCCCTTCCCCTTGGTCCTTGAAACAGAGTGTGCTTCAAAATACAACTACAACATGCACAACACGTGTACACGTCATCACATGTCATCGACGATCGCGACTGCGAGTGTCATCGCGTGTCAGATGTGAAAGTATGTTGTAAGACTACTATACTGAAGTTATTCTGGATTATAGATAGCAAGATTTAGCGGGTTTTATTTTTGCAGGGTTTTTTAAAACACGAACGTTGTTATGGATGTATTAAAACGTGCCTGTTTGTTGTAAAAATTCGTAATAATGCAAAAAAAAATACTAATTTGTGCATCTACTGATTTTGACTGTGTGCAGCCATGTTGTCGTTGTAGAAGATGTATTCTGGGAAATTGTCGTACCTCATGATTTCGAGTGTGGTCCTTAAAAATTTCTGTTTCAAGGGCAATCTAGCCCTTTTCCTTAGCCCTACGCCTTCAAGCTAAAGAGAATTGGGACACCTTCACGTGAACATGCAAAACGAGGAATAGGGATAAGGGGAAGGGCTAAGGGGTAGAATTGGGATTGGGCCATAGTATATGTAGTAATAGGTTTATATTAATGTGTCAAAATGTAATCATGTTATGACGTTTAAGCTTAATAATCAGAGGATATTCTTTATATGTTCATTTTGCTTGTTTTCTGGCATTATTAGTTGCAAAACAGACACATCTGTTGATTTGTGAAATAGCGTGACTGCAAAAAAAATTAAAAATTAGGTTTTACATGGTTCTCTATAACTTGTTGAGAAAACACTTGACCATTCTTTAACAGCTGAAATGATACTATAGACTACATTGGTGCCACTTATTATAGAGAATTCCACTAGACAGCGTTTAAGTAACCCTAACTACTTTTCATAAGCTTTTCTCATATTAACCAAACAGTACGTTTACATAGACACCAAAAATTATATTATTAAAATAATAATTTTAATATGATTAAGACAATATTCTGATTACGAGTCTACCATGTAAACAGCGATTTTTTTTTTCTGTCTAAAGTCATAATCAAACTAAACAGAAATCGAATTAAGACATGTGGAATATGCATATTTTAGGGTGCTTCCACACCTAGACTTTTCTTTCCGAACCTGTCTCGTTTGCCTAGTCAGCTCGGTTCGTTTGACATATGTGAAACAACCAATCACGCTCTGATCCGCGCCAAAACAATCGCTCCGAGATCGCTTGAATGAGGTGGTCTCAGCTCGATTGAAACAAACTCTGGAGCGGATCGATTGTAGTTAGAAAGCGATACGATCCGAGCCTGGTTATATCACAGTGTTTTATGGATATGTAACAGGTATACGGCTATATGAAGAGAGAATTATGAGCAGGGCGGAAGGTCATTCCAGACATCCCAAGTCTCCCGGAAGTTTCGTTAGTCTCAAGAAAATGCACAGAGACTCCCAGGTGCCCGCAAACAAAGTGATAATCTCCCGAAAATCACGCATCTCCCTCCCGGTCCTCAAATACGTCGCTCATCCTTCTCAACCCTCCCCACCGCATCCGTCCTCGCTCACATCGTGCACACCCTGTCAAACACCACCAAACCACTACCACCCCCCTGACAGCTGACCAATATGAGGAGAGTTTACTCGCACGTGACTTCTTTTAGCTATTTTGGTGCATTTAGAAACTTTGCACCAAGAACAAAGAGCAACATTGTAACAATTTTAATCCCTGTTTCGGAACAACTGAATTGATTTACAGGTGTGAAAGCACCCTTAGTCGCATTATTAAAGTGCAGTACAGACACCCTTATCACACTATTACCGTCATGTAGCCACATTGTGCGACAGGATATTTTATACGCACACGCCTGTTTGAAACTATTTTCTGCACCTACTGAGTCAGTAAAGGACCATACACACAAACCACGAATCGCTGAGTTTTTTAATATTTTTTTATTCTGCGTTCGGTATCAAACTCCATTAAAACACCAGTCCTTACTTTATACTCGCATCCAATACCTTAGTTTATCACTGGGGCATGAATAAAATGTTCCTAAATGAAAGTGAAAGTGCCAAATTGCAGTTAAAGTCAAAAAATTACACATGAAACACCAGAAATTACTTAAAACTTCAAAGGAAACCTTGGATAGCGCAGAATTCCGCACATTTTTTTTTGCAATTTCTGCAGATTTTTAGCCCATCATTAATTCTGTTTATTTACATGAGTAAATTTGTAAATCTGAATTTATTCAGTTTTTATTCAGTAATTTATTACTTTTTATTTCATATATTAAGGTTTTAGTTGACACTCCGCTGGATACTTCCAAAATACTTATGCAGAAATCTGCAGATTTTTACCAAAATTCACCGCTGAAATAGCAAAAAACATCCGCAGATTCCGTCTGGCCCTAGCTACAACATATAAAACGGGATCATGAAAGGAACATTCAAAAAGCAACTCATATAAACACCTTAATCATATTATTGTCTTATTCAGGTTAATGTAAATAATTTGATTCCTCATGTCCATGTAAACATAGTCACTGACTCATTTCTGTTAATAAATCACAGATTCACACAAGTTGAATTTTCAATACCTAATCAATCTAATTTGAAGGATGGTCATGGTTGGCGGTGGTGAGTTTTGCACAAGCAGACACCACTAGTTCTAAAGTCTTGATTACCTGCATATTAACAATACTAAAGCTTCAGTCACATACTAAACACTGCTTTAATGCTGCAGCTTTACACTGGGCAACACATGTGCTGTGTTTCTGCTGTTTTTATGTTTTGTTATTAATTGTCTTCTCTCAGTGCGTGGTTGGCGGCCTATGAGCATCCGGTTGTGGATCGCATCAATCAGCGCATTGAAGACATCACAGGCCTCAATGTCAAAACCGCAGAAGAGTTACAGGTAACTTTCAACTTTTCAAGTCTTTAAAGGGTTAGTTCACACAAAAATGGAAAAATTAAAAGGCATCCTAGGTATTTATATCTTTATAGGAGTTTATTTATATTTTATCAACTGTTGATTGTCTTGTAAGGGGTATTCAAGAGTTCACACTTAGATATTGCTTGACAGCTGTAAGCAGGTTTGGCATGCTGTCCCGGGAGAGAACCCTGAGCTCGGAGATAGTTGAGCCCAGGGCTCCCGCCAGGTCCATAGAGCATGTGAGGGGAGTACGAGATCAGGTGGTTCTCGAGAGCTCCCCTTTTTGTAAAGGAGAAAAGGAGGAGAAAGGGGTGGATGGGGGGTTTCTTCGGAAAACGAAGATAAGGGAGTAATGTCTAGCTAGGCTACTTATAGTGGGTTAGGATAGATCTGATTGGCTAACTAATGAGTGTAGATAGGTGGCCAGCTGCTGTCAATTATATCACGTGCTCCTCTCGAAATTAGTTTAAAAACTTCTCTTAATAGGTCTGGACTTTTAGGTTTGTTTGGTTTATGATGAGTTGAACTAAAATGTGTTGAAGTTAAAGCTTGTTTGCTTTGTTTTTGTTTTTCTCCGTTATTAATATATTGATTTGGTCGATTGAACATTTGATTTTGGTTTATTTGATTAAATCATACATTTGTTGAAGCTTTATTCTTTTCTTTAATGGAATTATTTGAGTAACTGTTGTGACGTTTTCTACCCCTGGCACCCAACCCATTTTATTAGCCAAATACCGCTATAATATGACTTGACTAATATGACCATGTTCTTCTTTCAGTTGAATCAGTCGAAAAGTTATTTTAAGATTTATGTAGGCTTTTTCCAACTCTGTAATGGCAGCTGTATTTTTTTAACAGTCGCAAAGAAGTCCAATAAAGTGCATCTATCCGTAATAATAACGTTCCTCGCATGGCTCCAGGGGTCTGTTCTTCGTACCTCGCTTAAATGATCTAAGATGATTTGGTAGATCCGGGATCTTTTAATCTTGATAACTGATCTCTCGCTAATTTGGTTCTTCAAACAAGTTCGCGAATCAGATTAAAATGTCTGGATGAACTGATCTGAGATCGCTGCGTGTGTTGTAAAGGACAGATCTATCTATCCTCGAAATCATGATCAGCAATGCAGCGATTGGCTGACGGCACAGCAGCGTAATGACACCATCTGATTAATATTCAATTATCCATGTGAGCAAAATTACATCAAATTAGCAGTAAACGCTTTGTTAAATATGACACGCAATAACCTTCCACATTTGTTGTGAGCTGCAGGCTTCACACTTTCGTGTGTCAAGAGTATTCATCATGTATTTCAATGCAAATCAATGTATTTAGTTCTACATTTAGAAAAGATTTTCTTTATAATTGTAGTCGTATTTTAATCGGTGTAAAGAATAACTGGTTGTTTACAAAAGCATTTTCATATTGGTAAAGGTGTCTGCAACTTTTGTGAAGCATCAAATCACTGGCATATTAACTATCAAAACATGTTTATGACTGCAGAAATGTATTGCCTTAAAAAAAAGTCACATATTGTGCATTTCTATTATACACAATTTGTACTAAAGCGATCTAAAAAGTTTATATCAATAAGTTTTCTCTTTGCACCACCAGGTGGTGTCTTTGTACTTTCATTTTGAGGGTGCAGATGGCATACGTTTTATTAATATGTATAACTTTATTTATTTTATTAACGACTATAACTTTATATATATAGTTAAAAAATATTTACCATTTTCCCAAGTGTATATAACTACTGTAAGAAAATATCAGAATTCAGTACTTACTTTCTTTATTATCTATGCTTGAACTGAGCCGATCTAATCCTGTTTATATGAATTGAACCTGCTCCCAATCAGGTTTGACCTAGCAGAACTGTTGCTATGACAACAACTCTCGGATCAGCTTTGAAGAACGAAACGATCCTGGATCATGTCAAATCGTCAATATCCAAATCCAGCTAATTGAGTAATCCACGTACGAAGAACGGACCCCAGGGGATGCCTGATAAGACTGATATACCTATAATAGCAACAGGAAACATTGTAACAATTTTTTGCCCACTTCATATTGCCTAATTTTGTTGGAAAAATGTGTGTTTTGTAACAAATTTCATTCTTTATAAATTGTATGTTCAGTTATCTACAAAATAAACAAAAAGAATGAATACATTTTTAGGTGAAGTGACGTGCAAGTAATACTTTTTGGCCCTAAGGGAATTATGAATTAAATTCAAGTTGATATATTATAATATAAAATATAGTACTTATGACAATTGTCTTTATAATTTGAGTTATGAATTACAGTATCGCAATACTACTTGGTATCGTGATACTTCAGCTGATATAGTATCGTAACTTTGATTAATGATATCAAGACAACCCTAAATGAAAGTCAATGAGGCAAAAACTACCACCAACATAATAAAAGGGTAGTCCATTTGCTCAGGGTGTATTGTTGGATTTTTGCAAATTTTTGCTGGAACACAGAGTAAGCTGTGGCCAAATTGAGACTCAAAATCACCCCAGAGTGGATGAGAACATCCCCAACCGCAAACAAGGGTTAATATGAGACTGACAGTTATGTCGCATTGCAGTTTCTATTACAATTTTTACATTTTCTCTCTTTTAAGGTGGCGAATTATGGTGTTGGAGGACAATATGAGCCCCATTTTGACTTTGGACGGGTAAATATCAAGTTCTTTAATCATCACAATGTATAATCTAATGCACCAAGTTGAATGGATCATTTTAACAAGTGTTTTCCACCAGAAAGATGAACCAGATGCCTTTAAAGAGCTGGGCACAGGGAATCGCATAGCAACCTGGCTCTTCTACGTGAGTACAGTTCCATCACTGTCCTGTCAATATCAGGATCTGCTGCTGCCATCACTTATTATCGATTTCCATGTAAAATATCCGGTGTGTTGCAGATGAGTGATGTAGCAGCAGGGGGAGCCACTGTCTTTCCAGAAGTAGGAGCTGCAGTAAAGCCACTGAAGGTGCTCTTTGTTTGGTTTTTCATTGACAGAAGATGTTTTATACTTTATGTGTGTAGTAAGCGCATTTAATTCACCTAAGAGTTTTAGGAGAGTTGTCTGATATTGCCGAGAAGCATTTTGGTAAACTGCAATATAGGTAATTTCCTCATTTTCATTCATTCATTTTGCTTCGGCTCAGTCCCTATAATCATCAGGGGTCGCCACAGCGGAATGAACCGCCAACTTACCCAGCATATGTTTTACACAGTTTATGCCCTTCCAGCTGCATCCTAGTACAGAGCATAACCCATACACACTCTTTCACACTCATACACTACAGGCAATTTAGCTTATTCAATTCACCTATAGTGCATGTCTTCGGACTATGGGGGAAACCTGAGCACCTGGAGGAAACCCACACCAACAGAGGGAGAACATGCAAACTCCACACAGAAATACCATCTGACCCAGCCGGGACTCGAACCAATGACATTCTTGCTGTGAGGCGACAGTGTTAAACACTGAGCCACCATGCTGCCCGTCTCATTTTCATCTTGCAGTTCAATATATTTGTAATTAGTTGACTGGACATTATTGCATAATATCACAGTTCAATTTTAAATACTTGCATTTTAATACATTTAAGCGTACTAACTTAGGCTCTGATAACACATTATTACTTATTAAATCTGATGATTTAATGTGCCTCTATTATTCAATTTGAAAAGTTCCTAATTTGTTTCGGAGGTCTGCTACAATTACATGTTTTTAAAATCAAAATATGCTTTCATTTTCTCATAATATACTTTCAGCATCACCATCATTCATCGGTTATTAAATAGCTGCATCCCAACTATACACGATGCACTTATACACTCAACAGCATAGTATATGTATGTAGTGTCGTCCCAAATGGACCACTAACGGTTTTTTTTACTAAGCGGAAATTCAAACCGTATCCCTGATGACGTTTGCCGGTTGCAGAATTAGCGGAATAAATGAGCAAACTACCAAATAATACCTGCCATGATTTTAACCACTTTCAATATCAGGAGGTATGAAATAAGTAGGAGAATACTGCTTTTACAATCCAAAATCAATAAAGTAATCCAACATGTGCGCCAGATAGTTCCAAAGCAGTGACCGTTGAGTGCGTGAAGTGTCCAACAGTCCACACATCGTTTTAATGTTTTAATAAGTGCATCATCCGGGTATTTAAAGTGCACTTATTATTTTTAGAGTTTTCAGTGTAAATGCACTATTTAACACTACAAAATAGCATAGAATAGTGCATAAGTATGCGACTCGGTATGGACCTATTGTCTTAAACAATGTATTTAAAGATTCCAAGAGTGTATTTTGCTCTGATTGGTCAGGTGGTCCAGTCTTGTGATTGTTCAAAGAAGCGTGCAAAAGTTGATCTGAAATAAATGTCTTTGAATTTGATATTATTGTTATTTTTAGCAGCTTTTCACATCTGGAAATGGTGAAATCCAGATTTGCCGCTCATCTTCTTTTAATAAAGACGCGGTTCCAGTTGGTGTTGATTGTCCTGTCTCTACAGATTTGCTAAGTGTGTGATCAGTGTGCTTTATGTTTAATTAGATGGCAAAGTTAGTTTGTATCGTCAGCAGAACTCTTTCAGTGTTTAAAGACATACCTTAGTCAAAAGGATTTAGTTACTAAGTTTACAGTGCATTAATGTCACTACAATGTTATGGACTGAAATATCCGCTGTAAATGCTGCTCTCCGTGTAAACATGTAAACACCGCAATCAAACTCTTACTGTCGTGTAGAATTTTTACCGCATTTTGTGACAGGATAGTCTATACACACATGGCTTTCTGATGCTACGTTTAGAGGTTTACACATTCTGTATCAAACATACCATTAAAACTACACTCTCCAGCAGTTCCTCGCATCCAATATCATATTTGTCATGGGGACATGCATCAATTGTTTCTGAACTAAAGTGAAAGTGCCAAACAGCAGTTAAATCAACCCAAGCTCATTCTGGAAACGTAGCCCCGCGTACGTTTCTGTAGACCGCGATTTACGTGGCCGGAGGTACGTACGACTGCGTTTAGTTTTTTTCGAGGGAACGCTGCGAGGCGGTGTGGCGCCGCTCCGCTCCTCTTCTTCGCGCTCACCGGCCGACGGCTCGCCTCTGAGTGAAGGCCTGGAGGAGGAGGAGCTGGCTGCGGGGACAAGCGTGATCGAGTCCGGGGAAGAGCGGTTCCAAAAATCAGGTAAGATGAAAAATAGAATCCAAAAAATAAGGGCGAGAACGCGGCGGGATGCGAAAATGCGGTCAAAATCAGAGACGAGTTTGTTCGGTTGTTCAGCCAGACAGTCGCTCCACAGCGGCCTCCGGCAGCTTTTCGCGCGAGAACAGCGCGGACGCGAACGGCGCGCGCTCCCGAGAGCCGCTAAAGATGCGAAAAAGCGCGCACAGTGGCCTCTCGCGGATCCGCGAAAACAAAAACTGCTCGAATACGTACCTCCCGGTCACTGTCTTTCTCCCCTGCATCTGTGTGTTTGTTTTGCCTCTGTAAAAATCAGCACGTGCCCAAACGGAAACTCACATATTTATGCAAACCTTTCTCTCCCCTGACACTCCCACCTAAAAAGAGCTGGACACACCCACTTTCCTGACTTTTTTCAAACTAGAGGTGTGAAAACACTCTGCTGAGACAGAGGGGGGTTTCATGGCCTTTTAAAAAGTATGTCAAATTTATTTAGATTAAGGCTTTGTTTACACTAATGCGTTTTCGTTTTAAAACACATACGTTTTGCTACGGTTACGCCATCCATCCACACTACGGCGGAGTTCTCATGCGCCGAAAACGGAGCGTTTTGAAAACGCTGGAGGGGCCGTTTTCATTCTTAAACGCTGCTACTCCGTCTCAGTGTGGATGAGGAAAAACGGAGACATCTGAAAACGGAGGTGGGGCTGCTGAGATTCGCTACCTGATTGGGGCTTTTGTGTCATTGCGTATCCTTCCCTTATTCGTCAAGCCCCTATCACATGACTATAACACATGGCTTTAAGGCTACCGGAAGACAGTACTGTAAACAACAACATGGGCACAGAAATGGGAGCGTTGTTTGCACTATTGTCTGTTTTAGGCGCCATTGTGCAGTTATTCATTTGTTACGTTTAGTAACAACTCAACCTCGTCGTCTGTCCACAAAAATACCTCTCTTGCTTTGTCATTGCGTTTAATGTTCATCCGGCGTTTGTTGACCAACAATAATCAAATGCCGAGCGAGACACATGCTTCCTGTTTATACTAGAACGCGCGAATGGTCACGTGATATACGTTTTTGGTGGTGTAGTGTGGACAGAGATCTGTTCAGAGACACTAGGTGAAACACTGGTGTGGACGCGGATCGTTTTTGATCTAAATTGTTGTTTTAAAACTAAAACGCACTATTGTAAACGGGGCCTAAGAAACAAAGCTGCGCACTTTGAAATACATCTAAGTGGCTTTCCATTTTATTAATCAAGTGCAGTGTTTAACGAAACCGACATGAAATGCGGGTTTTTAAGTCACTGATTTTGTTTTGTTTGAGCTCAGCAAGACTCAAGTCCACCATCTTGACCAGCACCGTCCCAGAATAAACTAACACCGACAGATTAATGCTGTTTTGATGTCAGCAGGGGTTAATGTCATGTAATTGTCTTGTTTGTGTCTGTGTTCAGGGCACCGCAGTGTTCTGGTATAATCTGTTTCCCAGTGGAGAAGGAGATTACAGCACGAGACACGCAGCCTGTCCAGTACTGGTGGGAAACAAGTGGGGTGAGGGTCTCAAACTTCCAGCAGACTTTCTTCATGCTCTAACTGTAGCTTGTTTTAGTAATCTAGCCAATGCTAATAATTTTTTTTCTTTCCTTTAGTGTCAAATAAATGGATCCACGAGCGAGGTCAGGAATTCAGGAGACCCTGCGGCCTGAAAGAGACCGACTGACCAACGCTGTCCACCATTTTTCTCATTCACTCCTTCAGACTCTGAAAACACTCCTGCTCTTCATTTCCTCTGTCCACAGCAGCAACACTAATTTTCAGTGAAGAGTGTGTATGTGTGTGCGTTTTGTGACATCAGGACACAAAATTGCATAATGACATGAGTATGACACAGGTATTATACAGAGGAAGTGACTTATGAGACCATGTACCCGTTTTTCAAAAGGCTCATAAATCATACAGAAAGAACCAGAATTATTTTTGTGGAAGTAAAACGTGCACGCTGTTTCCTGTGAGAGAGACTTGGGCTGGGGTAGGGTGATAGATATAGGTTGAAGAGTATAAAAACAGTGGAAAGCTATGAAATGTCCCCACAATTCACAAAAGCAAGCAAGTTTGTGTGTACTTGTATATATGGTTTACGAGCAGGGTGGAAATTACAGGAGTGTTTGGGGGGGATTAACCCCTCCAGTTAACACGTGTAGAATGTCAAAACAAGATGTATGGGGGTTCAGCCCTTTTATAATCTGATCGGTATCTTAAATAATTTTAATAATTAAAATTATATATATATTTATACAACAGTTCTGTCTGGTTCTCAAATATGATTGGCTGATATTCTGCAATATCAGAACTCCTACAGCCTCTTTATCCTTTGTTTATTACTCCGCCCACAACCAGCAAAAAGCAGACACTACTGATCTAAAGTTTTAAAGATGCACGCTCAACTGTTTAATTGTCAGCTTATAATTTGAATCCGGAAGAAAGTAGTTCCTCATACAAAAGGGTTTTTGAGACTTGTTTGATTTTGTTTTTATATACACAATTATGCCGTCAAACTGTTGTATAAACGCAATATCACAATCGTAACAGTGCGATATGGCTGTATATCGGCACTGGTGGGGGCACTAAGGCAGGCAGAACTGATTCGAGAACCAGACAGAACTGTTGTATGTATATATACAGTTGATGTCAGAATAATTAGCCCCCTGCATTATTAGCCCCCTAAATCTTTTTTCCTCAGTTTTTTTTAATGGAGAGATATTTTTTCAACACATTTGTAAACATAATAGTTTTAATAACTCATTTCTAATAACTGATTTATTTTATCTTTGTTATGATAACAGTTAATAATATAATACTAGATATTTTTCAAGACATTTAAAAGATTAATTAGGTTAACTAGGCAGGTTAGGGTAATTAAGCAAGTTATTGTATAATGATGGTTTGTTCTGTAGACTATCGAAAAAATATAGAGCTTAAAGGGGCTAATAATTTAGACCTTAAAATGTTTTATAAAAAATTTAAAACTGCTTTTATTCTAGCCCAAATAAAACAAACAGGACTTTCTTCAGAAGAAAAAAATATTATCAGACATACTGTGAAAATTTCCCTGCTCTGTTAAACATCATTTGGGAAATATTTAAAAAAGAAGAAGAAAAAAAATCAAAGGGGGGCTAATTCGATAGTCTACAGAACAAACAATCGTTATACAATAACTTGCCTAATTACCCTTACCTGCCTAGTTAACCTAATTAATCTAGTTAAGCCTTTAAATGTCACTTTAAGCTGTATAGAAGTGTCTTAAAAACATCTAGTAATATATTATTTACTGTCAACATGGCAAAGATTTAAAAAAATCAATTACTAGAAATGAGTTATTAAAACTATTTTGATTAGAAATGTGCTGAAAAAAATCTCTCCACACATATATATATATATATATATATATATATATATATATATATATATATATAAGCGTAGTTCATACAGATTAATCAGTAACCTCAGAAATAGAGGTTACTGTAGGTCAGAATACACTAAATGTCCCTCAAAACACTGCAAACTTCAATAGTTTTATTAATAAATTAGATGCAACTTAAATGAATACATCGCTTTTATTTCACAGAAGCGTGTATTAAACAAGCTAACATTACCAAAAAAATTTTGACGCAGGTTTCCAGTGAGAGTTGGGTTTAGGTGTACAGCCATATAATAAGCAGTTTACAGTATAAAGTACATAACTCCAATGGAGAGTCCTCGTAAACCATATATACAAGTTTGTGTGTGTGTTTGTGTGTGTGTGTGAGAGAGAGCCATTACCTCTATTAGTGCCTTTTGTCAGTGTTTGCACACCACTCCTTTACAGAAGGCCTTCAGCTCTTGAACACTGCTGTGACGGCAGATGTTCTGACTGACAGATAAACCAAAGTGACTAATGACAGAAAATGCACAGAACATCACCGAATGATCAGAAACAGTTGAATAAAAAATTCTCTGCTTTTACTTGTGCTGCATCCACTCTCTTAATATGAAATCTGGAAATGTTTTTGCCTTTTAGTTTCTAAATATGCTCACAGAAAGTTTTTATAAATTCTAAAATGTGACAATAAAGTGGTATTATTATTATGTTGCTACATATTTAAATCCAATCACAAGTGCTTGTGGACGATTTGGTGATTTAACATTAGTTACTTGGAATTCAAGAGGTCACACTTGGTTATTGCTTGATAATATTAGCAGGTTTTGGCATGCTGTCTTGGGAGAGAACCCTGAGCTTGGAGATAATTAAGCCCAGGGCTCCCGCCTGGTCAATGAGCATGTAAGGGGGCCCAAGATTAGGTAGTTCTCGGGAGCTCCCCCTGGTAAAGAAGGAGATGGAGTGGATGGGGGAATCTTCCAAAAACAACACACCCAGCACGAGACGTCATTTGGTCTTTCCATTTCTCACCTGTTTTCCACGTTGTTTGGACGTCTGACAATGACGTCTTTTTGACAACGTTTTGCTGGTTGGGAAAGATAAGAGAGTAATGCTAGTCGGGCTATTTATAGTGAGTATGGAATGATCCAATTGGTTTAATAATGATTACAGATGAGAGACCAGCCGCGATCGATCATATCACACTACTCGAAATTAGTTTGTGAAACTTGAAGAAGTTTCAACTAAAAAAAAAAAAATGTGATGATTTTATCACACCCATCAAAACCCTTCTTTTAAATTGAGTTCATCCAAAAATGTATATTGTTCAATATTTACTCATCCTCAGCTTGTTTTGAACCAGTTTCCAAAGAATGTCGAAAAAACAGACATGTCCTCATTTTTTCTTCCTACTATAAATGTCAACGGCGGGTGGTCACGTGACCCGGAGCGAGATGGCTGCTTGAGTTCTTCGCTTCGCTCAACTTAGTAAATAAATCACACTTTTTCCTCCGAATTCTTATTTCATTTTGTGTCATATCTGACAAGGATTTTATTATTTTCGCTTCAACGCGTTCGCAAAGGGCCAAAGAAAAGGATATGAAGAAGCCTACCGACCATGTGTCCTCAGCTAATGCTACTGACGCGGCTGAAACTTACCTGGACATGTCGCTGATTTTATCAGAAATGAAGGCTAATGGATCGCGACTTGACAGAATCACTAGTCATCTGGGCCCGGTTTTTCAAAAGTAATCCACTAGGATTTTGGATAAGGGATTGGATCAAATCCTGAAAATGGGTTTTTCAAAAGAAAAAACGGATTACATAATCGGATTAGATCACCTGGATTAAATCCAATCTTGGTTTTGATCCGGATCAAACCTTTAGTTTGGGTTTTTCAGACCTTTTTTGTAGGATCTGGATCACTTTGATCCAAAAAACCTGGATTAAACTGATCTCCTCAGAAGGGTGGATTTAGCGTTGATTTCATGCCCAAAATGGAATGAAAACTTAAAAAAATTATTAAATAAAACTATATTTGGATCATGCAGTACGAGATATACTATTTATTCATAAGGTTTTAATTTTATTTGTTTATCTGTCAGGCTAGAGTGAGTATAGGCTTTAACGTATTTAGCCTTTCAGTATAGGCCTAGAGCAAAATAGAAAGAGTTTGGCCTTATAAAATAATCCCCCAAACAGCTGTCAAAACTGACCAAAAACAATAAATTTTATTGTTACTATATTTATATACAATTGTAAAAAGAGACTGGGCAGAAGTTCAGCTTCATCTGGCAAAGGAACAACTGACTCTGACCAAACTGCAGCAAACCAAGACCACACTTGAGATCTGCCTCCTAAAGAATACACTCAGACAAGCTGCTCTCTCCACATCAGATGAGGAAGTCTGACATTATTGTGGAGGTTTCAACATTGTCTTTTTTTATTCAATACATCTATATTTGAAACATATTATAAATATTCTCAATGTACAGTGTTGTAGATCTCAGATGAGCGGACTGCTGGAAGAGGATGGGGTTGGGTTTTTCTTGCTTTTATTATTTATCATTATTATTATTTTATTATTTATAAAATGTTCTTAGTTTTCATTTCAAATAAAAATAAAGTTATATTGACCCCACACTGGCTATTCTACTTGTTGCTCTTTACATAGGTCTATCTATCCATCTACATTGTGATTGAGCACTGGTAATCCAGATTTAGTGATCCTGAAAAGTTCCTATCCGGATCAGATTGATCCAATCCGATGTTGCTTTGAAAAACTGGCTCAAAAAGTAAGCTGGATTACGTGATCACGGATTGCAAAAACAGGATTACTAAATCCGGATCAATTTTATCCGGATTAAACCTTTTGAAAAACCGGGCACAGAAAGCAACATCAGATTGGATCCATCTAATCCGGATAGGAACTTTTCAGGATCACTAAATCTGGATAACCAGTGCTCAAACAGAATAGGAAATCACAATGTAGAGATATAGAAATGTAAAGAGCAACAAGTAGACTAGCCAGTGTCTATATAACTTTAATTTAATTTGAAATGAAAACACAAACACATTTGAAAAAACTAAATAAAAAAAAACAAGAAAAACCACACCCCATCCTCTTCCAGCAGTCCGCTCATCTGAGAGACCTACAACACAAAACACTGTACATTGAGGATATTTATAGCAAGTTTCAAATATAGATGTATTTAATTAAAAAAGACTTCATGTCAAAAACTCCACAATAATCTCAGACTTTTTCATCTGTTGTGGAGAGAGCAGCTTGTCTGAGCGCAGCATTTAGGAGGCAGATCTCAAGTCTGGCCTTGGTTTGCTGCAGTTTGGTCAGAGGAGTCAGTTGTTCCTCTGCCAGATGAAGCTGTGCTTCTGCCCTTTCAGTCTCTTTTTGCAATTGCTGAAAGTAATTTAAAAAATCAGTGATTGCCATTCTTTGCTTTTTTTTTTCTGTAATCATTGCGTGCTTCACTAATAAACTGAAAAGAAAAACATTTTTCGTTGTGACGAATATATATATATTATATATATATATATATATATATATATATATATATATATATATATATATCAATTAGTGACAGAATAAATTGTTGTGTTTTGGTCAATTTTGACAGCTGTTTGGGGGATTATTTATACGAGGCCAAACTCTTTCTACTTTGCTGTAGGCCTATACTGTAAGGCTGAATATGTTAAAGCCTACCTAATCACTGTAGCCTGACGGATGAACAAATACAATTAAAACCTTATCAATAAATATGATATCTTGTGTGATGCTGTATGATCCAAATCTAGTATTTTTTTTATACTTTTTTAAAGTTTTCATTACATTTTGGGCATGAAATCCAGGCTGAATCCACCCTTTTGATGGGATCAGTTTAATCCAGATTTTTTTGGATCAAAGT